AAATTAAAAAAAAAAAAAAAAAAAGTTTGTCAACTTCTGGTTGTCTAACTTTTACTCTTCGCCTTCAGTCAAACCCGTTTGTCTTCATCCCGCGAGGACATACGTTGTAGATCTCGTCCTTGCCCTCTGCAAGCCTCAAAATATATTACCGCCCTCTCCGCCAATTACCTTGAGGGCTAATCTTTATTCTGTTGTCTCCCTGATTTACTTCCTGTGATCCCATCATTAGCCTCTCTGATAGAGACACTCGACCCTTTCTAAGAGCATCTTGAGGGCAAATATAAACTATATCTCAACGGATACGCACTTTCTGTTTGGCCTGTGTTATTGTCTTCTCAAGTAGCAATCAGAATCCTGCCGAAGAGTCCCAGTTTTCAATAATGTGACTGATAGAACACAAACGGAGACAATATAGCGCTCGAAAAGCCGAAACCCGGCGCAGACATGCCAGTCGGGAGTCATGCGAGAATAGATAGAGATCAATGAGAGACGAGGAGAAGCCGCCCTCCTGCGGGGATCGATCATTTTAGAACATAACAGTGGCAGCAGGCGAAGGCCTTTGCCCAACAATTAGATATGAAACGATTTGTTCCGATCCAAGAAAAAAAAAACGTGACATGTCAAAAAGGGACAGCCCGAGAGCACCCAAAGTTCAACATCCTCCGAAACGAAGATGCACCAGACCATTGCACCAAAATGATCCTGCCGTTTTTTTCTTGCTAATATGACCTCACAGCTCAGTTGCCATGCTAACATTGAAACTCCAGTGGTCCCTTTTGTACAGGGAGACCGGAGAGGCACTGTTTGCTTTCGATTTTTATCACCACTCCTTCCAATATAGAATTCAGGAGTGTAGTGGGAATCACGCGTTATTTAATACAGAATTAAATTATTGCTTAATCGAAAGCAGGAGGTCGCCACTCAAATTCTGCACCGTAACTTGCCTCGTATGGAGAAATATTTTACATATGTCTAAATTGTACCCTCTGCTGGTCACTTCCAAGCAGTCAGTTCTCCCCCCCGCGCCTCCGTTGCTTGATCAAATTCCACATTGATTTGCCCGGCCTCCGCCCTCAACACGATTGAAATGGAGCAGCAAGTGAGCTCTGCACAGAAGCTCTTCCACTTGTGATGGGGCTGCTGGATGAAAGGCAGAGAAAAGGTCCATGCAGACCAGAATATGGCGCTGAAGGCGAGTGACCAAAGGCTGCATGCTAATGGTGTGTCATTTGCAATTCAATGTGGACCTCGCGTCCTGTGTGGTGAGTGGATATTGAATATTTGCAAATGAGTCTCCCTGCAGCCTCCATGAAGCAATATAAAAAAGTGCAGCCCATAAAACCCATTGGACAGACTGCTTGTTAGATTTCGCTCTCATCCCACCTCACAATGTCGTAATTTGGCTACTTATTATCCCATCCCTCCATTTTTAGTAGCAGAGTTAGGGTTCCCAGTAAGATGGTGCCAATCCCATCTGCTTTTGGATGACAGGCAGGGTATATATACCCTGGACTGGTTGCCAGCCAAAATCTACTACTACTACTACTACTAATAATAATAATTAATAACAAAAAAAATTTGCATCTTTCAAGTGACACAGGGTCACTTCTTTCAGTTTTAGTTTTGGTCCCGGTTACATTAAAAAAAAATTAATAAAAGGCTATGCCAGGGTTCAAAGCAAACATGATGAAGCAGCATTTCATTGTTGTGCTGCAAGTAAATGGAATAAGCTGCCATTAGAGATAAAGTGAGTCAAGTGTATATTTAAATCCAGGTTAAAAACTATGATCTTTTCCGATTTCACCGATTAAGGTCTTTCAAAGCATTTTTAAAATCACGTTCTCCAAAATCAGGTTCTCCCACTCTTCTGGTAGTCATTTTAGTAAGCTACTCACTTCTTTTGATGTTAAATATCTTTTACTCTTTTCTTTGTAAATGTTTTTAAACGTGGGACTTTTAATGATGTGAAGCACATTGAGTTGCAGTCTGTAAATCCATCTTCCTTGCCTTGCCTTCAGTTGCGTTCTTCATGATGTGAGAGTAGATTGGAGCAATATGAGCCATTTGTTATCCTTCTCAAAGTCAGCAGTAGCTTGAAGTGAAATGGCAGCCAGCAGTAATGACTGAAATGGCTTTTGATGTGTGCTATATTATCTCACGTAGGGTCAGTCTTATGTGATGGTTGCCATTCTGTCACATTACAATGGGGCTGCTTTTCAAGCCCCATGAGAGATAGACTGGCCGCTCTCTTTTTCCTGGAGCGTTCTTTCACAACAGGTGGCTGCTATTTCCAAGTCATCATAATCACAAGTGCAGAGCGAATCATCTATAAAAAGATTTTGCACTTGAGGATATTTTCAAATGTTTTTTTTTTTTTTTAATTTGACAACTTTCATGTCACTTCCTGTGTTGGCCTTGCCGGTCTGTCACTCTCGTCCTGTCTTGTCTTCATATCTCCCCTCATTATTCTTCATCTCAAAGACACGTAGTCAACATCAGGAAGAGTTTATATTTGTGACGTGACAAATTCGTCACGAAGGAGAAGTGTGCTATTCCGGTCCGTCGCATGACGCCTGTCACCTACAAACATGGCGATTTGCCAGCCTGATGTGGGTGTGCGTGCGTCCCGTGCATGACTTCTGGTGAGCTCTGTGGACGCTGTGCCTTGAGGTGATTCCTGTTCTCATTAGCTTGCATGTCGTTTCGCTGTCTGGCTGTAAAGAGACACGGAGGCGCTAATACGCTCATATCCATGTCGATATGCTCGTTTGGCCCTGAGAGAATGTCATTTTAATCTCAGCGATGAGATCCATGGATTCAATGGTGAGTTTCGTCTGCAGTTCAGATTTGACTTTTGAAATGAAAATTGTTGTGAGAAAGTCATTCTTGCGTCCCGGTGGTCCAGTGGTTAGCACGTCGACTTCACAGTGATGAGGTCGTGGGTTTGATCCTGACTCCGGCCTTCCTGTGTGGAGTTTGCATGTTCTACCCGGGCCTGCGTGGGTTTTCTCCGGGTACTCCGGTTTCCTCCCACACTCCAAAAACAGGCATGGCAGGCTGATAGAACACTCCAAAATTGTCCCTAGGTGTGAGTGTGAGTGCGGGGGGTTGTTCGTCTGCATGTGACCTGCAATTGGCTGGCAACCGGTTCAGGGTATCCCCTGCCGACTGCCCGAAGACAGCCAGGATAGGCTCAGGCAAGCCCGCGACAATGCATTCCAAAATGGATGGATTGATGTATTTCCATTCATGATTGGAAAGATGATTGGAGATTCGACTGTTTTGGCGTCAGTGTGACCTCATACACACACAAAGGTTGACCATCAATCTCCGAGGGTAAAATAGATCAATAAATAATCGGGATATCCTCAAGAAGCTCAAACTGGATCGGGCCTTGCACTTCCTGCATGACATCCTCACCATGGAGGTGTCCATCAGGCTCTAATGCCCTCTTCTGCATCACGGGGGGATAATCTGCTCTAGTTTTCCTTGGGTCAGACTCAAAAGTAATTAATCCTCACATTACTCTGCAGGCTTTGGGGTTAAAACACTGTAAACGCTTGTGCCCATTTTTTTTCTTCCTGTCCTTGCATCCCTTTTCAATTCTCGTCACTGAGTAGACACTCAGAATACAGCCGCTTCAACAATGTTGTTTTGAATTCAAGCATTTTAAATTGGAGATTGTAGTCTACTTTACGTCGCGCCGTCAGACTGCGACGCTGTAAATTAAACGCGGCTTTTTTGGGGAGAACAGGCTCGGTGCCACCTACAGGGACTGGGGGATGACGCGCCTCACTTCTCTGCTCCTGTCCCCGGTTTGAACCCGCCACCGCGAGCAACAGCGGCAAGCGAGGAAATTCTGCCGCGATGCGATGGGTGTGTGATGCTTGTTTGCTGCTTTTTTTTTTTTTTTTTTTTTTTTTTTTTTTTCTGAGTCACAGTGGAACATGATTGGCTGCTTGCAGAGATCACTTAACAACCCGCCTTTTTGAAATGAATTATAAAAGCTAGCCCCTTCTCTGAGTGAGAAGGGAGGAGTTACACGCAGAGGCGGGAAGAAGGGAGGAAGAGGAGAGAGAGCAATTGAGATTTGCTCTCGATGATGTCGTTGTGCAATTTAATTTAAAAAAAAAACACGGTGCCAGGGGGTACTAGTTAGCCCCAGGAATAACATTAGTAATCCACAGTTCTGTTCTAAAAAATCTTAGCAGTGAGGGGACCCTGTGACTGACTAAGTAGAATTAAAACAGAAGGAGAATGTTAATATTTATTTGTTTTGTTTTTTTCACTTAACATGGTACACATTTTTTCTGTCAATATTCCAAATTTGGTTTGAAAATAGATTGCGTTCAATAGAAAACAAAATGCTGTTTTTTTTAACCCAAATATTTCCAATCCAGGACATTTTATAGCTGTCACTTTAACACTGTGATACTGCAAGATATTTGCTCATGGTTATCACACACTCATGATCTAATATCAGATCATGCATAGTTTACCTTTTAACAACAACAAACACAACCACAAAATTGCTGTCACATTTTACCGACATTGCAGAAACCTTGCATCTCCATAATAATCACTTTTCAGGAAATTTCAGCAATTTGGACATTGGAAGTTTCAGACAGATGAAAGCCAAATGCAGCCCTCGAGCAATGGTTTGCCGCATCCTGGTCTAAATGTTGCAGTTGGCTGGCAACTAGTCCAGGGTGTACCCCACCTCTCGCACAAAGTCAGCCGGGACAGGCTCCAGCTCACGAGTGGTATCGAAAAATGGATGGAGAACAACAATGATGAATGGTTTTCCTTCTGGCAGGCTGCCCTCTGTCAACTTATTATTAGTCAGATTTGTGAGTTGAAAGCAATGGCGAGGAGGGAAAGCTCGAGAGACGGAGCAAGAGAGAGAGCCTGTGGAGCTTTCAAGAACGTCGCATCTGGTTGGCCTTTGCTGCGCGAGTGAGCGAGCGAGCTAGCGCGTTATATCGTAAAAGCAGCAGCGGCAATAGTACAGGAGAGTGTTCAGTGTGTCTGGATGTTAACGTGGCCTTTCTCAACTGCGGCATAAAGCTACACGGTAGGTACCATTGTTTGCTGGTATCACATTTGGATGCCAGGCTTGATTTCTTGGCAAAGCGCACACGTTTTGCTTAGGAGCGTTTCATTTTTCTATTCCTCCAAGGGCATGTCGCTTCCTTTCAGTGAGGTGATGAGGGCATGAGTCTGCCATCAAAATGTTTCCATCACTTCGTCACGTTCTGTCATTTGCATGCGGGGGATGATTTTCATACTTGCCACATTTTCCATAAACCTGAGCGGCCGCTTTGCTTATGTGGTCAGTTGCACTCGTTAATGCCCACAGAAAACAGTGTCTGCCTGTGCACTTTGTGTGGCTGTTTTTGTTTACAATGACAGGCGGGGGGGGAATGGAAGTGGAGTGGGCGTGTTGTATCCGATTTCTCATCGCGGGCAACCTGAGCAGGGCTTGTGTGACCAAGGTTGAGAAGCAATTAAATCAACTTGAAGAGACTTGATCAACTCAGACATAGCAATTCATGATCCTGTTCCTGCCACCACCTTGAGCAGACGGTTTGGAGAGATGTAGTTAATTTATGAGAGAACATCAGTCCGAGTCCTGCCGGATGCGGAACGTGATCAGAATGTGAGCTCTCTCGCCAAAAGCTAATCGGTTGCTCCAAGAAAGGCAGAAGAGGGGAAAGCCAAGACCAGAAGGGGAACAAAGTAAGGCTGACTCAAGTCGGTGAAGCGAAGATGGGAGGAAAAGCGAGAAGACAACAGTAGGTGTGAATAGCCTGAAAAAGAAGGAGCGGCCTCGTGAAAATACTCAAATGAGCCTTTTGTTGCGCTGTATAAATTCGACCGTACTGCGCCGTACGCTTTTCTGCTGTCTCGTTTCAAATTTATCCCCATTCACAGGTGCAAAACGTTATTTTTCATACCACTCGGTCATTGTGCTCGTCGAGTGCGTAATTAATCCGAACTCCGGCTGTTGTGTGTTTCGGTAGAAAAATGCCAGCATTTAACAATTGCTGAGCGTTTTTACAGTGGCTCGAAAGCATTCGTTCACTGAGCCTGGGTTGTCATCGTAATCAAAAAAATAAAATAATACAGATTGTTCTTGGTACGGTGAAATCCAGCTTTATTTACTGGCTCTCTGGAGTCAAGTGATTGGTGGCAACTGGACCGCGTTCAAGCACATTTTACTGTAAATTCAACTTCATTGCGTCCAGGATGCAAAGTCAATGGCTGCCCTGAGACTGGATGGAGAGATTGCCGCTCATATCATCAAGGAATACATGTTGAAATTAGTCCACCTGGAACGAGTGTGCAGTTGATTTTCGACATATTTTCAAATATTTTTTCATGAATGGATGATTGAATGAGTTGAGACCATGCGCTCAGTGATGTGTAGCTTCCCTTCCACTCCCCTCACGTTAACATAACACTATCGTTTTATTGTTTGGACTCGGCTATTTTTAGCCAAGGTGCCAGCGTGAGGGATACACACTGCTGTCATACTGCCTCTATGTGGAGGCTGCTTTCTTGTCAGTGTGTGTGTGTGTGTGTGTGTCTGCCAGATTGATCAGTGTAGTGACACTCAAACTTGGCACAGAGACGGGGCTCTTCATGACTTATGGTTCTGACTACCGGTACTTAGTGTACAGCGGGTAGGCCCTGTGGCAAATAGCAAGAATTTGCGAGTAACTGACGTCCTCCTTAAAAGCTTCACAATTGCCTATGGATGTCACAAGACAGGAAAGCACTACTTTTTTATTAGATGGAGCTATGGCCGGGCGGCCCGCTGGTCAACTGGTTAGCGCGTCGGCCTCACAGTGCAGAGGTGCAGGGCTCCATTCTGGCTCCGGCCTTCCTGTGTGGAGCTTGCATGTTCTCTCCCGTGCCTGTGTGGGTTTTCTCCGGGTACTGTGGTTTGCCTCCCACATTCCAAAAACATGCGTGGCAGGTTATGGAGCCAAGGCGATGTTTTAGTCTGAGATGGGGCTTCGAGTTCAGTGCAAAAACAGTGAATGGGGGCCGTGTGAAATGAATTGAAATGACAAATTAAAATGAACGGTTACCTCCTAGAAACATTCAGATGAAACTCGGGTGTTGCACACCCACAAGAGCTTTTGTCAGTCTGTTGTTCCAAAATGCTTTCTTATGGGCCTGATATGTGACATACCGCAGTCACGCCTCCCTAATGATCCAAGGCATCAAGTGTAAGGGCGAGATCCTGACAGATGCGTCGTGTTTCTGTGCCGGTGTGATGTCACGCTGGCATTGAGCGGCGTCTGGTTGGCTCATTTGGCTGCTTTCTGTAAGATTTGATGTTCGCGGCGTTCAGGTTGTCGCCGCACTCCATTCAGAGGTGATGCGCCGGCATTGGAAGAACCTGTTCAAGCACCGCAGGCTGACGTCGTGTTTTGTTGGCTGAAAATTCTGTCTTGGTTCTTAATGAGACGATATGACAAGCTTTTTATTGGCATGCCTATCTATCATTCTATTCCTCCGTATCCATTTCTCTTTGCGTTGTTCATGCTGGCATGATTTCTCAGTCGTTATCATTAATGGCTGTCTGATGTGGCCAACAACAACTTTCTCTTTGCGTTGTTCATGCTGGCATGATTTCTCCGTTGTTATATAAAAAAAACATTCCACTCTTCCCAGTGAAACTCATCCAACAGAAACTCCAAAGCTTTGTTAGTCCCATACTGCAGCCACGTTGTTTCTTCATCTTTCAAGTTGCGTTTTGCCCACTTCAAGGAGCTCCAAATACACTCTGGATAAAAGTGCTGAGACACCTAAGCATTACATCAAAGGGTCTTCCCCAAGAGATTCTGACAAAATCCAAAGTAATCTTGGGAATTAAACAGTTTCGAGAAAGCATCTTAGCCATAGGTGGGTGATTTCCCAAATTTTGCCAGTTCACCGTACATCATCTGTCCGTGGAGCTGCTTTTCAATCATTGAAACAAGCGAGCAAGCTGCTTGATGTGCTCAAAGGGGTCCACCCTCTTTTTTTTTTTGTTTGAATAATCTTCTGCATTCTAAAGCTGCTATTTAGTTGTTTTACGTCGCGGCACCGTCGCGTATAAACTTCAAGGCAATGTTGCTTAATGGAACAGGAAGGTGGTATTGATTTCCAGTTAGATGAATCCAACTGGGAATGGGTCAAGACTTTTACAAGGAAAGGCCTGTGTCCATGTTTCAGGAGCACTTTGCAGGCGGTGTTGCTCTCTTGGGATAATTTCATGTAAATGCAAAGTGCTCGAGCTGGCGAAGCCCAATTTTACAGACGCAAGATGCATTTGTCATGAACTTTCTCCTCTCCTTTCAGCGGCGCTATTTTCTTGGCCTAATTTGTAGTTCAAAGACGAACGTTATAGGGTAAAACCACTGCAACCTTCATGAAATGAAATTCATCCATCCATCCATTTTGTGATCCGCTTTATCCTCACAAGGGTCGTGGGGGCTGCCGGAGCCTATCCCAGCTGTCTTCGGACAGTAGGCGGGGGACAACCTGAACCGGTTGCCAGCCAATCGCAGGGCACGCAGAGACGAACGACCATTTGCGCTCACACTTGACAATTTGGGAATGTTCAATCAGCCTGCCATGCATGTTTTTGGAATGTGGGAGGAAACCGGAGTACCCGGATAAAACCCACGCAGGCACGGGGAGAACATGTAAGCTCCACACAGGAAGGCCGGAGCCGGAATCGAACCTTGCACCTCTGTACTGTGAGGCCAGTGTACTAACCAGTTGTCCACCATGCCACCCTAACTGAAATCTTATTTATTTATTTACGTGTTCATTTATTTACGTGTTTATTTTTCTCTGAAAATTCTTTTGATTTGACTCTGAACAGGAGCATTGTGATTTCTTCAGTTCAGCCTTACTCATAAAATAAAATTGTCAAGTAAAGTTATTTTATTTTGTTTAATTTTTTTTACAGACAACATTAAGAAGACATTTGGGCAACAGCAGCATGTCTTTAACTTTTCTATCGCACATATGTTGCCACAGAATATTTCTCATAATTCTCATTGCTGTTAAGAAAAAAACACTATACCTTCAAAGACAAACTTGAACTAATTAACAGTAATGAGTCACATTTTTGTTTAATAAACCAGCAAATACAATGAACATCTTAAGAAATCACAAAATATACTTTTAATACAACAGTGAATACATGTCACTTAATGAACACATTGACAAAATAAAAAAAGTGGGGGAAATTCATGGCCAAAACTAAAAACTGAAAATGAAAAATCCACTCACCAAAAGAAATGAAAAACGATCTTTTTAAAAACAAAAAACAAACACAAAACTCCACGGGCAGCAAGTGTGAGCTGTGTGGTTTCTTCCAAGCGATGCGTATGCTTTCCAGGGAGCTTTCTTACCCCCGGGCCAAAGGCCGTCAGCCACTCACCTCCGTGCAGTTCAGCAGGCTGTTTGACACATACGTGACTAACCGAGGTGCATCGTGGGCGGCCGCAGTGGCGTGACGCATCACTATCTGAAGAAAGATCTTTTCTTCCTGCTTTTTTCTTCTAAATTTAATCTTACCCGGAGCTCAAAAGCAATGCCCCGTGGCGGCCAGCCAACCGGGCTGTAGCTTTTGCACCGGTTAGCCTGTCCGTCTTTTACTTGCATCATCACGACATTCTGTTTCAACCGTGTTGTTGTAGTAGCAAAAGTCTTTCAGTCGAAAACCGAAAAGTCACTTTTGGGCCATTTTGACAGAAAATCTGCGGTGACTGAATTTTCTGTGTATCCCTCGCACCTGGCCCAGCTGTCTTTTGGGCCACAGGTGGGGTCGCCATCCAACCACAGTATCATCATGACATCACCACTCATGATGGATTGTTATCCATTTTTGAACCTCTTTTTTTTTATTGTGGTACTCTTATTTCCTGTTATTTTCAAAGAAAAAACATGTTAATCTTTGAGAAGTGTGTGTTATCATGTCTAATTCCTCGCATCCCTATCCTCCCTTTTTGACAGTTCTCAGATGTCTCCCCGGTTACATCTCTCAGCAGGGGCTAATGCCACTCTAGGCTGTCTCTTAATCGTCTCCAAGTGCTTCTCGAGGATTTTATTCAATCCATTTTTTTTCTTGTATTGCTATTTTTAGCTTTATCGCCGTGCAATATAGCCCACACACCGGCTGATTAATAGAGACGTAAGGAGAATAGCTTGACTCATCATGTCTCTTGTTCATGGCTCCAAAGGGAACCATGATGAGAGCCGGCTGGGGGGGGGGGTTCCCCCACCAAGTTGAAGCGAGATGATCCTCCAAAGGGCCAAAGCTTCCAAAGTAGATTGCTTAATAAGGTGCCGAGCTTGCTTTGTCTCCTTTGTGATCATCACAAAGGAGTGACGAGAATCAAAAATGCATGGAGACAAAATAATACCCCACGAACTACACATTATGAGACTTTAGACCTCGTCCATTAATAATCCGTTTCTTTTTACATTCTTTTTGTGAAAGAGACGCACTGAGATCCAGCTGGCTGGTTTTCTTCATGCAACGCAGAAAAATGCGGTGACAGCTACGTTTATTACTTGTCTCCACAGGGCATCAATATAGTGGACCCTTGTAATGCAGAGCCTCCGCCGCCCAGTCCAGCCATGTACCAGCTGGATATTGTCTTAAAGAAAGGCAACAACCTGGCCATCAGAGATCGCACAGGTAGGGGCCCCATATTTTCGTTGTATTTTATTTTATTTTTTCCATTTGACTTGATCGCAATCTTGCTGCCGATCAATACGGCGGTGTGTACAAATTCAGATATCATTGGAGATGTACATGCTCTGTAGTTTGGTCCGATCAAGCAAACTCCCAATTAGGCACATCGATCCGACTCAAGCAAAGTTGTCATTTACACCTTGAAGCGATTCATATTTTACAGTGGCAGTTAAAGAAAGTTTTGATCACGTAGTGGGCGGCGGCAGTTTGTGCAATCCAAACAAGGCAGTAGATGACATTGAATTGCTTTTCGGATAAATGAACGAGTTGCGTCCTTACTCTTAAAAGACTCCCCAGAGACCCGAGTCGCATTTGCGTGTTAACCATCATTTGTCGCTTGTTTCCATGTTTTCATGACTGTTTTTTTTTTCAGTACAACGAGCCCACATACAGCTACGTTATTAAAAAAAAAATTAAAAAATGAGCAAAGCAAAGGCATCCAGCTGCATGACTGAATGTACAGTAATTGAATCGGGTCTGTCATTACTGGACCATGGAATGACTTGTATTTCAGCCCTGTTCAATATGTCCTACTGCACCTCTTGCGTTGTGGGTAATAGGACACCCCGACTGCTGCAGCCATCTGTCAGTCCTGACAAAGCGCGCACACACGCATGCACCGTTTCAGCCGCCCACAGCCTGAGCGAGAGGCTTTTCCAAGTCTGACGACATGGAGGCGTAGTTTATAGGTACTTTCACTGTGCTGCTTTGCTGTCGTCCTCTCAAATCAGTCAACGGTGCCGCCAGGACGAGTGACACGTTGACTACGCAAGACCTTTTTTAGAGAGAAGATGCGAAGCAGACCCTGCCGATGAAATGGACACTTGTTTGAGTCATTGTTTTGTTTATACACATTTCCTAAAAAAATATCTAGTTTCTTTCCATAACCAGTCTTACGGCTATGCTCGTATTCCCAATGACACACTAGTCTCACTTAGGATGTCGTCCCAGAGACTGCAAAGGCGGTGCCAATATATACAGTATATCCAGTTCTTGTTGGTGTCCCAATACATTTGTCCATATAGCCCACCATGCTCTGAGCCAAGTGACATGGATCTCACGTCCTGTATTTATAAAATAATCACCATCATGCCGTAGGAAAGATGGAGTGTATGAAGTTAATGTGGGATCAAACTGTCATGCTGTCTCTGTGATTTCGCTGTTTAAATTAAATTAAATTTTTTATTTAAGTTTAAATTTTATTTCTCCATAACCAGTCTTACGGCTATGCTCGTATTCCCAAGGACACACTAGTCTCACTTAGGATGTCATCCCAGAGTTGGCAAAGGCGGTGCCAATATATACAGTATCTCCAGTTCTTGTTGGTGTCCCAATACATTTGTCCATATAGCTCACCATGCTCACAGCCAAGTGACATGGATCTCACGTCCTGTATTTATAAAATAATCACCATCATGCCGTAGGAAAGATGGAGTGTATGAAGTTAATGTGGGATCAAACTGTCATGCTGTCTCTGTGATTTCGCTGTTTAAATTAAATTAAATTTTTTATTTAAGTTTAAATTTTATTTCTGTAAAAAAATCCAGAATAATCATGGCTTTTTTTTTCTTTTTTTTTTTTTTAACGGTGACTGCTGTGACTCAGTATATTGTACTAAAAGCTTCTTTTATCAAACCCTTTTATTTTTGCAAAGAAATAATCACCATCATGCCGTATGAAAGATGGAGTGTATGAAGTTAATGTGGGATCAAACTGTCATGCTCCCTCTGTGATTTCGCTGTTTAAATTACATTTTATTTCTGGAAAAAAATCATGAATAATCATGTTGCGTTTTTTTTTTTTTGTTTGTTTTTTTTTTAAACGGTGACTGCTGTGACTCAGTATATTGTACTATAAGCTACTTTTATCAAACAGTTTTATTTTTGCAAAAAAAAATAACGACTAATTTCAAATATGTTCAACGATCATATCTTCATTTCCCCTAAGGCGTATGAAGCTTATTTTAGTACATGATTCAGTGGCAACATAATTACATCTTCATATATCAGTGTGAATATTTTAAGACCACTTGTCTGCCCCGCGCTGCCACATAGAGCTATTGATCATGACGATGTAATTGGAATTACAGGTTGATGATGAAAATGAAGAAGCTGAATTATTCATGATTGGAATCATAAACCCTCGTCACCAAGATCAGATAGGCCGAGCTCTAAGTTTAAACACCGTTCGGCAATAGATTCTCATCATTGTGTCGCTTGGAGGCTCGTTGGGTGTCATTGTGAAAATCCATTTGCATTATAAATACCGGAAACCCACCAGCATATCAGATAAGGTCAAAACAGAAAAAAACTAAGCTAGCTGTTAGCATGTCCGCTATCTCATTTGCTGTTGCTAACTCTCCTTGTCATTTTTATTGTGATGAATGAATAACTTGGGGGACACGGTATGCTCAACTCAACTCAACAATCAGTTGCTCCTCGCTTCATGTGGCGTCCTAATTTGGCTACTGGTCCGTTTCAGACTTTCAGACTTCCTCTGCTGACTTTGAGCACAAGGGAAAGAAAATTGCTCAAATTGAATCCGGTTATTGGCTCGCGTGAAACCCGCTTGAAGTGCCTTTATGTTTGAAACATATTTATGACCGCATTTTATCACCAAGTGTTAGCTTTATGGCCCGTGAGGCTGCTGTCACGCATCGATAATGGATGTCAACATGAACGTCTTCAACATTGGGCGTAATGTAAATGCCTATTCTTTGTTTCTTCTTGATCTTTGATCAGAGACTGTTCTTTTTGTTGGAGTATTGCTGTATTTTTGTCGTTGTCTCTGAGTCAATGAGCTGCGCCCTCCTGGCCGCTCCTTGTGAAGTGTTGCGTTAGCAATAAATAATTTTGCTTTATGTGCATTTTCAACTGCTGCTGGGAAGAAGGAGAAGAAGAAAGGGAACATCTATCCAAGATACTAGCATGGACTTTGGCCACGGGACAGGCAAATGTGTTTGCTGAGTAAACGTCTGGGCCAGCTCGCATTTATTTTATTTCAACACATTTATTTTTATTGATGTCTGCTGTTTTGATGCCGGGTTTAAATGGCATGTCAGTCGATGGGCAAAGTTGTGAAGCACTCCCGTTCAAAGTTTTCAAAATACATGCCGCATACATCCTTTTTACAAGTTTGGAAAAACATTTTTTTGAAATTATTTATCTTGGTCTAATTTTTTTTATATATATATACAAAATGGTAGCCAAAAAGATGTGCGTAGACGTTTTATACCCACTGTACTTCTTATTGACCTTTCCTTTCCATAAAGAGCATCTATGTGGAGTAGACATTGCAATCATTTCCCCTCCTAACAGACATGCCCTGTCTTGATGATACTTAAAGTGTGATCAGTCTGTTGAGCCGAACGCACTTTCTATTCCGCTCCCACCACATCAGACTTTTCCATTTCAATCGTCTCAGCTGGCTTCACCCAGCGCCACGGCTTCCGCTCGTGCGGCCCGACACCCTAGCAAGCAGCAGCAGTAGCAATCTCTCAGGACCGGAAGTGGGAGACCAACATGAACTCCATCCTGGGAAAGACCAAGCAGAGGATGTACTTTCTGTGGCGATATTCAGGACACTATTAAAGAACTTCAACAGTGTCTAAATGATCTTTAAATTTTTTTTTTTTTTTTTTATCCATGCCATCTGGAGCTTGTTGAGTAATCACAGAGCGAAAACTCATACTGGTATCGGTTAGGGGGGAAAAAAGTGGTATCGAACATCCCTAATTTTATGGATTTATTGGAGTGAGTGGCGCGGTGGTCATGAACTCCATCCTGGGAAAGACCAAGCAGAGGATTTACTTTCTGTGGCGATATTTAGGACACTATTAAAGAACTTCCAACAGTGTCCAAATGATCTTTTTTAAACTTCTTTTTTATTTTTTATCCATGCCGTCTGGAGCTTGTTGAGTACTCACCGAGCGAAAACTCGTACTGGTATCGGTTAGGGGGAAAAAAAGTGGTATCGAACATCCCTCATTTTATGGATTTATTGGAGTGAGTGGCGCGGTGGCGCCCTAGCACCATCTATTGGATAGCTCCCACTTGAAAAAAAAAAACCTGCTTGTGGACGTGGGCAACAACAACACAGCAGTAAAATACAAAATGATCATAAAAGGGCGTGTGTATTTGAGGAGACTTTACTAGTGTGCCTTTTGGGTGTTTTGGGTAGTTAATCAGGAGGATCTTGTTGTCTTTGTGGCTGGTGTCATTTGAACCGTCACCCATCAAGTCAATCGAGCAAAAAAAGGTTGTTGTTTTTTTTTTTTTTTTTAATGTCCTTTGTTTAATTTCCCCCGCTCTATTATGAAAATGATGTGGTTTTATTTTATAGCCTCCTCTTGCCAAATTGAGTGGTACTCAAGGAGTGCACTTTGTTTTGATGACTCCATGCGCCTTTATGTTGATTCTGCATCTCTGGCGAAGAAGAAAAAAAAAAGCTCAATTTTTACATGGCCTATGATAAACAACAGTAAACTCGTTTTGTGAGGCTTACATATTTACACTGGCTGTCCTCGTTGAGATACTTTCCAGCCACCAAACAGATGGTATGTACTCCTCTATAAGGAGAAATGTATTTGCTGCCGTTGTTTACCTTGAAGATGCTGACTGAAAGGATAACGCCCGAATGGGAATTCTTTGAGAATAGAATTGTCTTCTCTCCCCTCGCCATTTCTCTGGTAATCACTTTTGTCCCAGTGGATAATGGAGTGAAATCCAACAGACCAAATCAGCATGCTACTTTCCTACTTGACTTCTAAAATACATAGAACCAAAGAGAGCATTGGTTGCACCTACTCAATGTGATCTTTCATTATATCTCCCAATCATCTGGGTAATCAATTGCTTCTTCTTCTTCTTCTTATTGTCGTTGTTATTTTATAAATATGCATACTGCAATTGTACATTTGATTTCATTGTTATTGTACTCATCCTGCAAAATGTGTGCCCACATTATCTGTGAAAGGCCTGCCGTTTCTTTTTTACGTTCTGGCCATGATTTTAATGTGGAGTCTCAACCAATGAATCTGATTGGCTGCCTCCAGACTGCAAGCGACTGATGAGAACATTGATTGCCCAGTCCTTCAAAATCAATGATGCATGAAACTTTGCGAAGTGGCAAATTAAACAGAGTTCTTTTTATTTTCTGGAAAACAAAAACACAGACAATCCCTTAAGTACATTTGCTGCTTTTTTTTCCCTCTATGCTTTTTATAATGTTTGCAGACTATAGTGCATTACACTGTCTGCCAATGTGTTTGTTTCTACTCCTTATTAGTTTTTTTTAATGACTTGTTATTTTCGGCCAGTCTTAACCTCCACTACAATTTCATTGTTAGGTTTGAAGGATCTTTGTCGTAATGTTCATTTACTTCATTAGAAGCATACAGAAAAATATGTAACGAATTAGGATGAAATATTTATTTTGATTCATGCTTTTTAAAGACTCACATTTTTGGTGTCCAGATGAGATCATGTCCTTTTCCTATGAGTGTTTATTTTCTCTCCCAGGTACGAGTGATCCATATGTCAAGTTCAAAATTGCGGGGAAGGAGGTGTTCAGGAGTAAAACCATCCACAAGAACCTCAATCCAGTGTGGGATGAAAGAGCAACTCTCCTGGTGGAAAGCCTGAGGGACCCGCTGTATGTCAAGGTACAACAAGCATCAAATATACAAGTGCAGGCTTGTCTCGAGAAATGCTTGTTGAATACTTTTTTACATTTTTGAAAATCATGTGCAGTATTTTAAGATTCATGTTCAGGGCTGTCTTTGCTGACTTCAGCGCTTCTGTTTAGGTTTTTGACTACGACTTTGGACTTCAGGATGACTTTATGGGCTCAGCGTACCTCTACTTGGAGTCTCTGGAGCATCAGAGGTCCGCTTTTTTGGCTTTCAAATTTCATCTCTGAGCTACATCCCGCTATTTGAATTTGTGGCTGCAATGTGTATTTTTGCTTGTATTGTCACATGACCGTTTCACCAATAGGAGCGTTTGATATTCATGTCAGCAATCAAATTTTTGTTAAAGTGATATTATTGTTGGGCAATACCTCAGTTTGCATATTCAGATCACAATTAACTCAAGAGGTGCTCAGTACATCAGTGCTTTTTTTTTTCTCCACTCAATACTGCCACTCAAGTAAACTTGAGGACAATGTTGGGCTGCTTTCCCCACCTCTGCTTGCTTCTTCTCCACCTTGTTGTCTACCGGTACTTCTTGTTCGTGCATTATATGCTTTCAAGGTTTTTCTTTAAACCTTACTTCAGCTCAGCGCTCACTAAATGTATGAAAGCTCCACTTAAATCGCTCCTCGGTGGTTGCACAATCTCGTGCCTCCCTCTCGTGGTAACATTTGGAAACACATGCTGCGATTTTTTTTTTTATCACGTTGTCACATTTCACATTCGAGGAAACGCTTCGATAAACGAAGGTTATTCAATTGAGTCTTGAATAATTGACACAGTTTAATTTGGATTATAGTTTTTATGATCTGAATTCAGGAGTATCATACCCTGTTTGCTTTGGCTATGCGTGCATCTGTGACATGACTTCCTTGCATTGCTAACCATATACATTATTCATTGAAATTGTCGATTTTTAATGATCTTGTATGACCGCGTTCCCTTGTAGGACACTGGAAGTTGTCCTGGACCTCAAGGACCCACATTATCCAGACCATAATCTCGGCAGCCTGGAACTTTCGGTCACGTTATCACCGCGAGAGGGAGACATGAGAGATGCAGTAAGGAAACGTTCTTGTTCCTCCATCTGGTTCTTGTGAAAGTTCTGACTTCATACATGTTCAGTGATTGGAAACTCCTCAAATCGGCAAGGGCACATACACAAGCGCCTGTGTAATTAATGTTGTCGGTGTAAAAGTTTCATGTTCAAAGAGCGCTGGATGTTGGCTCATGCGCTCGATGCTTCCGAGTTGCATTTATTTCTGTTCAATTATTTGTCTGCCTAATTGGACCCCTGCATGTTCGACCCAGAACAAGGCGGGAGTCACGGGGGAAATACTTTATTCCTTTTGATCTGATGTCTTCATGTTGCTGCTTATTTAGTTCAGCAGTGCAGAGAGTCCACGCTTGACAGAACAAATAAACCCGATTTAGGTTAAGCACCATTTTGGCTCCCTCCAACAGTGAAGAAAACGAGTACAAGGGTGTGCCGAATAGCGCCATGCTATTTGTTGTCATCGGCCAGGCTTGATCGCCGAGGGAGAGATGCATTTGGGGAAATGATGACTTCTTTGACTCAGATATTTTGTAATGTCATCCAACATTGTGTATTCTAATTGTTTAATTACACTGGTCAACAGCAAATTTGAATCACAGATGGCTGAAAGCATTTTTGACGTTGATTTAAAAAAAAATCCTTTTTTCCTACCATTGCAGCATTTTGGGATGTTTTCTTCTTTTTAACCCGTAAAAGCTTGCGCATTTTGGATTTTATCCTGCGCTGTAATATAGAGCTATGACGTTTCAGAGAAAGAACTTCCACCTGTTGCGGAACCGAACCCTTAATTCATAAATGTGACTCAATATATTACATAATGTATTATTGTTTTTATATAATTTGTATTATTATGGAACCCTGATGTGCTCGAGCACAGATTCGGAATCAGCGCAAAAAATCATGTATGAGAAAAGTTTCCTTTAATTTCTGATTTAAAAAAAAAAAAAAGTAAAAATGTGGTCACAAGTGTTATCATCAGCGAATGACTGATCCAGTGAGCACTGAGAACATTTTAAGTAGCAACTTCCCCTCCAGCTTGCACCAGCGGGTCTTCAAAACTGCACCAAATACACACTAATGGTTACAAGCTTTGAAAGTAACATACAAAGAACCAGAGCTTGATTTTCTTTCTTTTGAAACTAAAAAAAAAAAAAAGAAAGCCAAAAGGCACCAATCTCCAATAACCAATATCAGCATGACTGCAATAAAAAAACACGTTTATTTGCGTGAGCATGTTTGTGTTTGACAACACTTGACAAGGCAAATCGCTCCTGCCTTTTTCCCAAGCATGACTAACAGATGCCTCACTATATTAATCTGCCCCCCCACACCCCACGCCACGCCCCCCACCGCCGTCACTCCGGCCACGACAGTACTCGCATCTGAACAGCTCACACCACCTTCCCCTTAACCTGTGCCCCTGCAGCTTCCAGTGGGAGACAGTAGGGGGGGCTGTAACCGCTTTGTCTCATTCACAGACCATGCTTTTGAGAAGGAACTGGAAACGATCTAGTAAGGTAAACTAAAAACGCATGTAAACACCTCCCCCTCCACCCTCAAGCAACACTACTGCACTTCACCTGTGCACTTTTCACTGGTGTCCTGGCATATGAATGCAGTCTCTTTTCCTCCATCCCCCTCCCCCCACCTCTGTTGCTTTTGGCTTTTGTCATCACTTTATTTTCCACAAGCTGCAATATACTAACCAAGCACATTATATTTATGATATAAAATACAGTAAGTTATACATTTTGATCGCTTTTAAATGACTGCAGTTTTGATATTCATACTTTTTGCAACTATGGATGACTTGTGGCAGGGAACCTTTGCAGTTTTCCTCCAAGGGACATTCTAAATCGATGTATATAATTCAATGATTGAGCGAATGTTTATGATTACATATTATTATAAGCATTTGTGTTTTCAATGTTTTTTGTTCTATTTTACAAGAACAATTCATTCGATTTGGTTTTCAAATTGTGTGGCGCCACAATCGAACGCTTTAGGTTCCGCACCTCTGGTAGTCTATTGCAGCTGCTGTGTAAGAAAATAAAGCCGTTGTTTCATATTCAGGGAGCTTGAAGAACTATGGCAAACCAACCGTGCCGATAAGCATGTTGATTGACAATGCAAGTCTGTATCAGGGCCTGTTCTGTATCTACATGTCTCCTTATTTCGAGTGGCTTTCAGGCGAACAGAAAGAAGCATGTTTTTCCTCTGTCCCTCTGTCTTGAAATGTACTTTGTCTTTCAAACTTGACACACCACAGAGTAAATTGTTGTAAACAACCCTGTCGAGTTTGAATGATTACATAAGTTGTCTAATCTATAATATGAGCCTTCAAAATGATGAAACATTTTCTGCGGCTTTCTAATGGCATAGGCGTGTCCGCTGAATGCGTGAACCCGCATCCTGCTGAAAAATCAAAGCTACTTCCTCTTGCGTCTGTTTTATGTCTACACGTCTCTACATGGTTGGATCACGAAAATATCTCCTCTTAAGCTACAATACATCCCCAACATGTGGCGAGGCTTTCCTCCAACACAACAAGAGGGGTTAGCCTCCAGCTAGCTTGTGAGCTAACCACCTTCTGGGGCGAACGGCAGACATGTAGTAGGCTTCATTTAAAAATGACACTGAGCTAGAAGATTCATTTTCAAGGGGATCCATATAGCTAGCATGCTAACTGCACATTGTAGTGGTAGAAATCAGCATAGCTCAAGTTCTTACATAGTGGGCTTTGGGGGGGAGTCATGCTTAACGCCTAAGTGTTTCACTGGACACCATTTTAGGCAGGCCCAAAAATACCAGAAGAACTGAAATGGTGAAAAACATTTGGAATATCATAGCAATTTGGTCTCAGTCAATGAGTTTGTCTCAATAGCTTTGGCCACATAGTTTTAACATAGTTTTCAGTGCTAACCTAACAGATGGCCTTAAGAAAGGCTTCAGATAATGTTACTCCTGTCCTCTTGACTAACAATTTGGAGACACGGATACACATTTGGAGTGTGCCTGGTTAAAGCTGGGCAGGCGTCCTGCTGTATGGCGCCTTTGAAGTCTGCAAAATGGGCCACCCCGCCTGCGAATCGGGAATACGCGCAAGCACTAACGAACTTGCTACCCCTCCCAGAAAAGGCGTTGCTCTTGACTCCCTCTTTGCCTCCTTGCCTGGCTGCACACAGTGCACAGTTTTATTTTTACACAAACTTATTTTTTTTAATGAAGCCACGAACATACGTTAGAAGATGCAAACTCTTCAAGAAATAGTTTGCGATAGTAATTATGAGTCAGAGGCAGATTAAATCCAGGTCTCTATCTTCGCCACTAGGCAATTTCTTTTTTTGGCACTTCAAACGTTTTTTTTTTCTCTCCTCCAAAGGGCTTATAAAAGTTGAACTGTATACGAATATGTTAAAAGTAGATTTGTTTCGAGACTTCCAGGCCCCCGAACATCGCTGTGCATGATCTCTCTCCTGCTGTGCACTGGCACAGAGATACAGATTCGCAAAATAAATAGCCCTGTTTTTTTTTTTTTTTGTTTGTGGGTTTTTTTTTTTTCGAGCAAGGCGAGAGCTATGTCGTTCCAAAACAATAAAGCGATGAGAATGTTACTCGAGTACAACATAACGGTGACCTTGAACCATTAGCATACACCGCCACATAACATAAATTCAGTTGTAGAAATTGGCAGACGTGGAAGTGGAGTTGCACGGGAGGTTAGCTGAACCTCGTGGAGCCACTCGCAGTGTTTAATGTCTGGAGAATAGAAATTAAGAGGCTGCGTCTCCAGATCAAAGGGCTGCGCTTGTGCGGCAGGGTTTGTTCGGAGTTTAATGAAATTCATCTGCAAAACAAAAGCTATGCTAATAAATTCGCCCTAACAAGGCAGAAGATGGATGAAAGGAGGGGGAGGGAGGAATTTGTTGCGGTGAAGGATATTGTAATGATTCAAAGAGAGGTTAAATAGGCCTGTAAGTGGTGAGAAAACAGACTTAAATAGGTTGCCTCGTCACTTTATTAGATGGACTGCTAAAATTAGAAAAGCGTTTCAAACCTATTCAGCCAAATGAATGAAGATATTAACTTGGATTTTTTCATTCTCGTCGTATCCACATTAAAAAATGGATGCCAAGCTTAAAAAAACAACAAAAAAAAAAGCTCTAAATTTGAGGGTTTATTTGTTCGACTTATTCCTTTGCGTACTCAAATCACGTGTTTTGTTTTCTTCATGATTCATTGCCGTTTCCTTCAATACGTCTCCGTTTATATACGTATAATAAATGTCTGGATCTGTTTTGTGTGGGTGTGCGTACACGCGTGCCTCTGCGCGTATCTGTGTGTACGTTGATGGTTGTGCGAATGCGCGTCTGCCCACCACAGTGCCAGAGTATGCGCCTGTCAGATGTACACCGAAAAGCTCAGCTGTGGCGGGGCATCGTCAGCATCAGTCTTATCGAAGGTCGCGGCCTCCAGCCCATGGATGACAACGGCCGAAGTGACCCTTATGTTAAATTTCGGATGGGACACCAAAAGTATAAGAGCAAGGTAAGCAAACCCACGCGTGGGCAGTACCTTTGACCGCGCGTTTCACACTGTCATCCTTTTGGCCCCCATCAAACAAACTGGGAACCGCGCACTTGTTTCTTGTGGCCCCAGACCATTCCCAAAACGCTGAATCCTCAATGGAGAGAACAGTTTGACTTCCACATGTATGAGGAGCAAGGAGGCTACGTGGACATTACGGTCTGGGACAAAGACGCCGGCAAGAAAGATGACTTCATGGGAAGGTACAACTATCTCCTTTGTTCTTCTGAGATTATTAATGTGTCGCTGTCACCAGACCTTGGAAAAATACAAAGTGCTGTCCGAGTATGCTAGCTTGCCAGAAGTCTTAGCTCACCTGCCTCGATTTGTATATAAATTTAAAATTCTTAATCCACAAGGTTCGATATGATGTCAGTCCATGTGATGTTTTTTTGGACGACATGACGCCATTTGAGGTTTTGATGACAAGGAATATAAACGATTCTGTTCTCAGTGCTAACGCGTCCAACGTTTTGGGACGTATGTGTGTCCATCCAGGTGCACGATCGACCTGTCCCTCCTCAGTAAAGAACACACACACAAATTGGAGTTGCCACTCGAGGAAGGCGAAGGCGTGCTGGTGATGCTGGTGACGCTCACGGCCTCTGCCGCCGTCTCCATCTCAGACCTGTCAGTCAACGTGCTGGACGACCCGCAGGAGCGACACCAGATCAAGCAGAGATATGTGAGTTGATATTTTTCACCCTGAGTTTTTCCTGTCTTAATGGCGAGGGATTACATGTAACAAGCATAAATTGAGGGAAAAAAAAACGGGAAGTGTTCCACCCATTGTATGTTAGCTTTAAACTAGAAGCAACATTAGGTGGTTGTTATAAATACATGCCATTTAATTCTCTTTGTTTGATGTTTACTTTGGCAGCCAACATGAACTCGGGATTGCATTGAACAGATTGAGGCCCCTTTTTGTAAAATTGCTGCTTTTTGGCACATGAAATAACAATGATCTTGTCTTAATTTAGTCACAAATCTACTCAGTGTGCAATGTAGGCTCATTTAGTTGAACATTAAGCGATTATTCTTTAATGTAAATGGCAACAGGCGGATACGCAAATTCATTGGAGGTTTTGGCATCGAGCGGAAGAGCATTTATTGTTCCATCTGTCGACATACGTCAGTTGGAATGGATGGTGAAGAAAGATTATTTGGTGAAAATATATAATTATATATTTCAGGCCAATTAAATGGAATTTGAAAATTTCCGGCACTGCAAAGTGGTTGGGAATCACTGTTTTTCGTGACGCCATGCACACTGGTATTTCTTTCTTTATTTGTCCCCAAAAGTCTTCTTTTGGATTTACATTACTTCCCAGATTCATTGACCAAAATAATCACCAAAGTTGTCAGAGCAGTATGTTCACGCCACTTGGTGGGTTTGTTTCTGTGGATGTGATTCAGATTCTTTGTGATGTATATTTTTTTGTGGTGTGCATTTAAAATGAAGGTGTCTTAACAGGAGAGTGACCTGCGGGACAATTTGTCCCTGCATAGTTTTAGAAGTGCGATAGAACTCCACTCTGTATTCATTAGCTTTTATTTTGGTGAATGTGGCATTACGGCTGGTGGCCCCAAAGTGTTCAGAATGTTCCTCAAAACCTTCTTAACCCCGGAGTGCCTTATTATTGATCGACCGTGGGAAGTCGAGCACCCGCCTCCGAAATGCAGCAACGGCGAATGAGCAGAGGGGGGAGCTCTATGACCGAGAAAGCCACCGCGGCCCCCAGCGCTCACAAAAAAAAAGGTGGTATGGAATGTGTGTGTAATGGGGGGCGAGAGGTAAAGGCTGAGGGGTGCACTGGAAGGGAAGGCGTGTAAAATGAAAAGAAAAAGCTATTTCACCTCTCTCACAACTTGCACAAATGCCGTTTTTCTGCTGAGCTGAAGGCCCAATTTTCCTTTCCTTCCTTTTCCTACTTTATCCACCTTCTCCCTACTGTGCTCTCCCAGTACAGTATCTCACTTCAACCTCTCCTTGTCTGTCTCCAATGTGGCCCTCCCGTGACATGACCAAATAAATACTGGCAACTATCCACCTGTTTAAATAATAGTCTTTTCTTTTCCTGGCAAAAGCTGTCTTTTCGTGACAAAATTAACCAAAGATGTTTCTTATCAAAGAGGACTGATACGATTTAAGTACGGCCCTTAATATAGAATAGTTCTGTTCAAAGACCCCTAATCTGCCTTGTCTAAATCTGTCTTCCATTTTTAAACTTCTGATGAACACACACATTCATCTGCATTATGTAATGACCCAGATGAATTTGTGTCGTTAAATAATTTCAAATATACGTGTAGCGAATGAAACATTTTCTGAGACTCATTTAAGTATTGATCCGATATTGTTTTGACGAAATTTTCCGTGGTGCTGAACTGCATCGTGGAAGACTGTAAGATGCTAATCAATTTGTAGCTACGTTATTGTCTCAATATGTATTGTATTCTATTACGACACTACGACAAAATACAGCCACAGCTGATTATCTATGCAAGGCACAATTTGTCATACAGCTCTCGTAGGGGCACCTAATGAAATGCCCCGTATGTTGAATTTTTCATGTACTCACATACAGATTGTGCAGCGAGTGCACACGAGATGTTTGTAAGTAGCTTACACGTGCACTCCGACCGCAAACGACTTGAAATGCAGCTAGCGGCATTGCTATATGCAACATGGCGCAATACACTCACTTAGTGACAATTGCCTTGGATGTGCTATTGCTCACCGTAACCTTTCCTTCATCGCTAATTACTGCATCCCAGACGTACAGGGAGACAGCCCGAACAGGAGTGGGAGAGATTTATGTATTATGATGGCAAAGGAGCACACACACTAATGGCTCTTAATGGGCCTGGGGTGGCCACGAGAAGGGCGGATGAGGGGAAGAGGAGGACGCGGTGACCTCCGCCGAAGAGTGGTGGCACGTGCGCGCGCGCACCCACGCGTACCGTACACGCGCGTGAGGATAAAGGACATAAGCGGACCGATAACAAGCTGGAGGACAGACATAGAAATAGTTCAAATCTATCGCTGTGTACCCGCTCCATGATGAATGTTGCATAATTTGGCCGATACCAATGAAATAGCAGCAGCTCACATTTCGATTGTGTGAGTCCCGGTAATGACCACCCGCCAAAATATTAGCCATGCGCAGGCAGTTAACATTCAAACATTTTAGTTCGTTGAGAGATGGGGGCCAACCCTGGTCTGGTTGCCAGCAAATCACAGGGCACATACAGGCAAACAAAGAATTCACACTCACATTGACACCCAAGACAATTTCGAGTCTTCAACTAACCTAACATGCATTGTCACATATTTACGTGCAGTGTTAATGTTCAAATTGTGCATCATATTGCAATGATATTCAATATATCGTCATTTCATAAAGATGGGCTGTACCCGAGGTCATGCGGGGAGTTTTGTAAATGAGGGCACGGACAAGCCTCCCTTCATTTCTTCTCTCTACCCGCCGACAAGCTACTGTATTTTTGTGAATTCAAATCCCGTTGAAGGGCTGACTTATTTTTTTACGGCAATCAATGATCATTATCAAACCCAAAATGTCATAGGGGTTGTCCATATGCTGCGACAAAGGTTTTGGTTTTGGTAGCGTGGTTTTCAGGCTAAAAATGCCTTTGCAGTCTCACACTGGCTGAGTTTTTTTTTTTTCTTTCACATTATGTTGTTTACTCCTTGCGCGGTTAGGTGTCAGTTCTCCCTGAGTTTTGGGACTAAATCAAATCACGCTTTCATCATGCCTAATTTTGAGAACCGTAAAATAAATAAATAATAATAATTCCTTAAAAAAAAACTGTAAAAATTACCGCATGTGCTTCATACTTTGGATTCTGACTTAGTTTGACATAAGTTTTATAATTTAGCTTTCTTGGTTAGCTTACTTGGTCGATGCTTTCAAGATACATACTATTTTCAGGTTGTATACTAACAGTATCCGGGTCACGGCACCAATTGAAAAGTCCTTGGGCAACCTTCACTCGGTCATTTTATCTTTAATGCTTGCAATAGCACACAAACAGTAACAAGAAGAAAACTGTACATTCTCACTTGAACTATTGAATGGATGTCAGAAAGATTGGGCAGAATAAGGCTCCAATGTGGAAGAAGGTCTAATCTGTCCAAAATGGTCCCTATTGAAATCCTTCTCAAGCCGACCCCACACAGGAGGGCACCTCTTTCTAGCCCATGTGACAACGTGTGACTCCACAATCTTAACTGGTTTCAACTGGTTAAGTGAGCAAGGGTACAGATAAACACAAGTTCCATCCACAGAAAAGTGCTGGAGAGTATTTCATCTGTGATAAATTGGCCCCAAATGTTTTGTTACCGTGTCTTGGTAGCTGAAATCCTGACCAAGGTTTAATTCTTTGCTATGATTTATATATTTGCAACACGACACATGAACACATCAGACTGGGTCGCGATGGCTCCAACCTGTTATGTCACAAGCCTGTGATATGTTGATTTGTCGACGAGAAAGTATGACCACGTACTTCTGGAGGTAAAATGGGCCATCGTCACATCATGCTGTCCTTGGAAGAAAACGATGATTTCCTACCCTCCCTTTGACTTGTTTTCTCTTTATCTTTTCTCCCAACAAGCACTTGGATCTTCAGAGAAATCATGTCCGAAAGCAACGAGTTCCCCCATCCTTTTGACACACTCTCTCTCTCTCTCTCTCTCTCTCTCTCTCTCTCTCTCTCTCTCTCTCTCTCTCTCTCTCTCTCTCTCTCTCTCTCTCTGTCACTCACTCACCCTCCCATTCTCTCACACACTCTCCCCTCTCATCTCCTTTACAGAGCTTTTGGACAATGATATCGCCGGAAACAGGCAGAGTCTGACAGAGTTGGTAATAATGAATTAAGTCTGTGGCCTGGCCTGACTCTGAGATTTAAATTATAATTACTCCTGTGGGGACGGACGGACAGGGTTATTGCCAGCGAGAGAGAAATAAATTGAAGTGAAGTGCATTCCCACTCTTGCTTTTAAGACACGCCGACATGCTCCTCAATTTGGCCTCGGTGTACCTGAGTGTTTGGGCATGAACAAAAGCACCTGTGTGTGTGTGTGTGTGTGTGTGTGTGTGTGTGTGTGTGTGTGTGTGTGTGTGTGTGTGTAGCTGGGTGGGCTGTTACTTTTGAATAAAACTGGATTTGGTTTTGAACAAGCACCTAATTAGTTTTCTACAATGTGGAATGAATAACCCGCGGGTTGTGACCATTGTCTGGGCGGGGTCACCCAGTCCTGTAAATTGGTATTAAATTGTTGTGTCTTGCCACTATTCACTAAGTTGTTTTCCGTCCAGTTTTCTGAATATTATTTGGAGAAGCCGCGTCACTTGCACAAACTTCTTCTTATGTGCTGATTAAAAAAAAACAAAAAAAACCCCCAACACATCCCTGTTCAAATGCCAGGTTCTAGTGATATAAAAATGAGAGCAAGATAAATCATTTGGAAAACTTTTTCACCGTTCATGTGATGTATTACTTGAACAACTCAATTCCATTAAGTTTGTTCTTTTTTTGAGAGGGGAAGTAAAAAAAAAAGTGACAACAAAATAAAGTGTTTCACATTGCCCCCCCCCCCCCCCCCCATCTTCTAACTGTGGCTGTGATCACGATTGACCAATCACACCATTCAAAGTCACGTTAAATAAGAGTCAACACACACCTGCCGCCATTTAAAGTTCTTTTTTTTTTCCTGAGCAGGGGTGTGTAGACTTTTGATATCAACAGCACGAGCGTATTGTACTGAGGAGGCAGACAGATGAAGCTAGTTGTTCAAGGGCCACTTGCTGGGAAACTACCTCAAATTACAATTTTTTAGGGCTCATCCCAATTCGGAAGTTTTAATTATTCATTATAATTTCAAACATATGCTTGAATTTTAAGCCTGTAGTTCTCAGACAGATGCTTGAGAGATTATGGCAACCTACCAGGAGAGACTTTACACTGAATGTGAGTAAATGTTCAGTCGTCCTGTTTTGCTGCAGCGCCTCCGCTGGGGGGTATCCGTTTGTGTTTCTTTTCTTGACTACAGCGCTGGTGGTGCAAAGCCAGAGTGAAAAGTTCCTGTGTTTGTATGTGTAAATATCCAAACCTTGCTCTTCACGCCTCGCTAAAAGTGTGTTCTCACGTGAATCTCACTCTTGCAGCATTATTCACGTCGCTGCCTGAGGTTCCAGTAAGCGTCAGGCTACGCGGATACAATTGCAAAACTCACAGGGCGAAGCTCCGCCGAGTAAACGCAACACGCTGTCGTTTATATCGATACAGTTGATCAACTGAACCGATTGCCGGCATGTTTTGCTCCCTTTGGTTGACGTTACAACCTTTGCCTTCATTTTCAACTTCTAAAAATGCATGGGATTGAATTCACTGATGGCAATTTTACATTTTCTTCTTATGTGACCCTTCTCAATTCTCTCACCCCTCCCATATATAGCTCATATCAAATGAATTCTATTTCAGTCTCAATAGTCGAGAACTGAACAGTGTATCAAACGAGCGCACACAGCTCCTCTTGAAAGGAACTCCTCTCATTTGTCCTCCTGTTGGACCGAGCTATAAATGCCAGCTCTATATTTTCAAATAAGGGCCGCTAAAGGACATTTTCTACCCTTTTCCTCCCTTAATGAAATGTCAGGCTATTGACCCATCTTTCCCTTAAATGCTAATTTGCCTGCCTCTTTGACCTTTCACCCTTGTCCTTGTGCTGTTTCAGAGCTTGTGGAGGTCACTGCACAACCTGAAAGACGTCGGGGTGGTGCAGGTAAAAGTCATCCGCGCTGAAGGACTGATGGCGGCCGACGTCACAGGTGGGAAGGCAACGTCGCATCCGAACAACGCCATGAGTAAATTCCCGTGAGCGTCGCAAACGCCATCAGATACAGCATCAACTTCCATTTTAAGAACATAGACAAATATAGGACGAAGACTGATAGACGAAATGAAGAACGCAGGCCCTTTCCTGGGTACGACGTATTCAACACCTTTGCGCGATGCTTTGTTGGCGCACCTTTGGCAGCAGTTACAGCCTCGAGTCTTTTGGAATCTGATGCCACTAGCTTTGGCACACTTCTCTTTGGGTAGTTTAGCACATTCCTCTCCGCGGCGCCTCTCAAGCTCTTTCAGCTTTTGGATGAGGCGGGTCGGTACACTGCCATTTTCGTGTCTCCCCGGCGATGTTCAATCAGATTCGAGGACATTTACATCCACTTCTTTGAGCTTGTTGTGATGAACCGTCGCCCGAGTTCTAAGTTCAAGAGCACCCTGGAGCAGCTTTTCATCCAGGCTGTCTGTACACTGCAGCATCCATCTTTCCCTCTATCCTAACTCGTCTCCCGGTTCCTGCCAGTGAAATGATGATGTTGTGACCGCCGTGCTTCACTGAAGGGACACTTTTGGCCAGGTGATGAATGGCGCCCGGTTTCCTCCAAACATGACATCTGGCATTCTCGCCAAAGCGTTCAATCGTTCAGACGGGAGAATTTTGTCTCTCATGGTCTGAGAGTGCTTCAGGCGAGCTGTCATGTGCTTTTTACTAAGGAGAGGGGCTTCCGTGTGGCCACTCTCAGTTTAGATGGTCGGCCAGCTCTGGCTGACAAATCTTTTGACTTCTTGACTTTTGAGTTCTGGCATGCACTGTCAACTGTGGACAGATTGGTGTGCGACTTTAAAAATTATGTCCAGTTGACAGAACTGACCTCAGGTGACTCCATTTAAGCTGTAGGAACCTCTCAGGTGGAATCATGATCGCTCTACACCTGAATACAGTATTAGAGTTTACCAAAACTAACAAAATGACGAAAACTAAAACTAAAAAACGGAAGCCACATCGTATAAAACAAAATATAAAACTAATTAAAATGTAACTATGATGATAGCAAAACATTTTCTGAATGAGCTTTCATGGTTCAGTTTAAGTGTATTTATTTCGGTCTTGCTCTACAAGAAGGTCAAACAGTCGTTTGAGGATTGTAATTTACTTTGCTTTAGTACACAGTACTCAGAGACTTTTTTTTTTTAATCTTGCACTTGACAAACACCCCATAATTTAAAAAAAAAAAACTAACACTAAAACTAATAAAAAACTAAAGCAAAAAAAAATAATCAGTATAAAAAAACCCCAACAATAATGAAAATAAACCAACTTGTGCTAGAAACTAATTAAAACTAACTGAATTAAGAAAAACAAATGTCAAAAAATGAAATAAAACTAACTATCATGACAAATCCAAATTATTTGTTGTTGGTCCAGTCTAGAGAATTGACCTCCATTTCGCTGGAAAAACAAAAATCACGGATCATGTTTTTTTTTTTTTTTAAAGAAAAATCAACATTGCCATTATGAGGTGTTGTGTGTAGAATTTTATCGGAGGAAAAATAATTATAATCCATGTTGGAATGAGGATGTTATGTACCAAATGTGGAAAAAGTGCTTTCTGGATGCACTACATTTTTTTTTTCATTTCATTTTGCTATCTTCTGTCAGAATGACAGTAATTTGAGCATTCGACTAATTGCATTTAATCTCGTCGACAATGTGTGTGGCACATTGTACATCACCATGAATTCAGCCGGAGATAAAGTGTCATTTTGGGGTTTGAGGGATTACGGTCTCCCAAAATGTTCCCTGAGTGAGTTTAAGTCTTCTTTAGGCTGGATTTATGCCGGATGCTAAATTTATCTCTGTGTTTTTAGGGGAAAAGATGCAGGGTGCTCATTTGAATAATAGAAAAAAGTGTGCATTTGAACCAACAAATCTCCCCCCTGCACCCCTTCCCTCCCTTTTCTTTCTCCACTTGCTCCCGTCGAATCCTCCGTTCTCCATTAATTCTTACTTTTAATTAGGTCTGCAGTGGACAGGCCTAGTTTTTCACTCTGCATTATCTAGCTGAGAGTAGAGAAAATGTGTGCGAGTGTGCGCGTGTGAGCGTGTGTGTTTCTCAATGCGAAGCAGCCACAGTCTGTGTTAGCCGACACAAAGTGGAACTGCTTGATTTGGGTTATTGAGACCGGGGCAGCCAGAGAGCAGCCGCTAATGGCTCTTGTATTTCACTGGGAACTTAAATTTACTCGATGACCTTGTTTCACAGCTCATCATTCAGTCTGCGCTTCATGGCGAACTTCCAGAAAAAAAAAAAAAGAATGCTGTCGCAGAGTTGTTTATTTCATTACTTTTGGTTTCTCTTCACCCTGCCTCTTGTGTTTTTACCATGGACTCGCGGACAAAATAAGAAAAAAAAACGCTTGAATGCGTATTTTGCATACGGGTAATCGTGTCGTAGTTTTCCTCCGTGGGATCATTGAAACAGTTCAATGATGTGTTTGACATGTCGAGTGTGGCTTGGTTAATATCGCAAGTAAAAAAAGACAATAACCCATCACCAATGCAAGAAAAAAGATGGACCGATCTCGACAATTTTTTAAACACATTTTTTAATTACTGTAAAGTCGTCCAAGCTATTCACGGGGGATTGGGAGTGGCCCAAGACGAGCCAAAATTCACGTAAAATAGACAGCCATTGAAATGCATTGGGGAAAAAAATAATGACAATTACAATAAACACTAAAGATTCTCCTAAAATTGCTGATAAACATTCACTACACTGAAAATGCCCCCCCCCCAAAAAAAAATCTTAATCTTAAAAGAGATTTGGAAAAAAAAAATTGAAAAAGAATCCGACTGCATATGCTGAGAAGCCTCGGATTATTAATGAGGGCAGCATAGAACGACTTTTTTTGCGGAACCTATCACCGATTTTGCATAAAATGCAAAATCTTTGAAGAGTCAGCCGATCAAATCTGTGTAAAGTCTAAAAGTGATCAGGTGGAGTGTCACAATTTGATGCTCCAAATCAGGATAATAATTGTAGAGACACAAACAAGAAAGTCATTACTGCTCTCGAATGGTTTCACGTGTACGTGTTGCTCCAGGGCATTCCTTAAGCAGAATTAATGGGTAGTTTTAATCCACAATTCTCTTTGTTTGATGTTTAGTTTGACAGTAAACCGGAAGTGGCATTAAATAGCCTGAAGGCTCTTTTTGAAGCGTTAACTGTCTGCCAAATTAAACGTGAAGTTAGTTGAATTGGTTGCCACCATAACAGCACTCGTATCTCAAGTTTGTGCTTTGCAAGGCAAAGCAAAAAAACCAAAAAATTGTCACGAATTGTCGTCTCATGAAAAACCACCGCATTCATCCTTATTTACTTTTGAATCCTTCCTATTTTTCCCACCGGGGATGCTTCACCTCCATAGAGAGCGAAGGATGATTCAAATGACAGGCAAAGGTGCGTTCTGCCTGTTCGCCAGTGCGTGTGTGACGGGCAGATACAACGGCTCCGTTAAGAGTGGCACGAGTGCCCTCGGCACACGAACACCCTATTTTATCAGCTGAGCCCAAGAGAGGGTCAGGAACGAGGCGAGAGACAAACAGACGGACAGGCAGAGAACGAGTGGGGAGGTCACGGAGAGAAAAATAGTTCACTCTCTCCTCTCTCGTCCCCCATTCGCGTTGCCCGTCTGTCTCCTCTCTTGTCTCGGTTCGCCCTTTCATTTTTCACATTCCGCTCGGGCCATCTCTGACTCTTAACTGAAATGCTTTTGTGGTGTAGAACGTGACGGATAAGTGAAAGCAGTCTCAAAAGCCAACAGTGTCCTTTGTCCGTGCTCCTTGAGCACACGTTTTTACTCGGAGACATTTCAATTGTAATGCATAATCCGCAGTTTCATATGCCGCTGGAATACCAAAGGCTTGTTCTTTTGCATAGATGAGTGATTTTTGTTGTTGTTGTTGTTTTTTGGGTGTAGTCCTTTTCAAGTAGCTTCCAAAGTTATGCTTATAAATTATGGTGAGATCCATGCATTTTTGATGATATGCGGGAAAAAATCATACTGTAGTATCTTAAACGTATAAACGTTTTGAGTTTATTTTTGTGAAGAAAAGCACAAAATGAGTTCTGGCACGTAATGTTGCTGTACTGTTCAGCAGTTTAGTGCCGTCCTTGAATGGTCATTTTTATGCAAGAGCGCACCTTGCAGCCCTTTTTTGTTGGCTTGGGCTCTTTTGTACATGCATTCAGAAATGTATTAGGACAAATTAAATATATTAGGAGCAGGTATTTTCCCACATATTTTGTGAATATGTTAAGTAGCATTTTTGTCATACATCTGGTTAGGAAATTCGGAGTCCTACGTGGGCCCCCGAGTTGCAATGATGAAAAATGATGGCCCCCTCCAACATTTAAATTGGCCATCTTCGGTGCTCAGTACAATATGAGAAATACAATTATTTAGCTTGCACACAATTTCACTTCACCAAGCAGATGCTAACATAATGTACCTAAACCATTCGCCATACAGTTATATTGTTGCCTTATTTTCCAAACTGGCCAATTTCACTTCACCAAGCAGATGCTAACATAATGTATCTAAACCATTCGCCATACAGTTATATTGTTGCCTTGTTGTTAGCCAAACTGGCTATTCCCAAACGAATTTACACATAATTTGGTCGTTCCATGATATTCGTTCAGTGATTTTTGCAAGTGACAAATTTTGTCAGCCTCGGCCGTGGTCTGTGCGATTCCACAAAACTTTCAGGTCAAGAACGCAGCCTGTTAAAAGTGATGAAATGCAAGAAAAAAAATGCAAATGGGTTTACATTTGAAAGTCTTGAATTCTAATTAATTGCGATGAGCACCTCAAACTCCCGACCAACTTTAAGCTCTCCTGCGAGGCAATTACATCCGCTTCCTCATCCGTGCCGTATTCAATCCTCCACACTTATCTTAGGGCGGCCAGAAATGAGTTTGCACCCGCTCCCCCTCCGCACACCCTCCGGAGGCACCGTGGAGACGTGACCCGATGTGGGAGGAGCCTTACCTGGACGCTAGCTCAAATGTGAGCGTGTAATGGTTAAGACAGCTGCCTCTGGTGGTAGCAGCCAATAGGGTGAAAGTTCATCGCCGGTGACAACCGACTGCAGCGCCAGAGCCTGTCAAGCCGTTAAAAAATAACCTGAATATTAGGCTAAAAAAGTGGGGAGCGGTGTGCTGTAAATTTCCATCCCTTAATTTCAATGATTGCAATTAAATGTAATCAGTTTTGATTTTTTTCCATGCTTTGGAAGTGCCAGGGTTATTTGATATGCAGTATGTATTTATGTCTTATGATTCAAGTTATTAAAATTAATTGAAATGCAAAAGTTCCACCTGAGGCAAATTATTGGATTACATAAGTACCGGTACTCAATTTATTTTTACATTTGTAACTTTTTGGGTTGTTGATTGTTATCATATGTATATGTATATTGTCATGTATAATTTTATTTTCAGTTTAAATTTGTCATGACTTTTAACTGTCTTTGTTGGATTTAGCCTCACAGTTCCCAATTTTGAACACTCACGTTAGCAAATATGGTTCCTTGCCATACAGGCTTGAAATTTCCTTCATTAACGAAAACAGGAAAACAAAGACAAACATACACAGCTGCATGGAGAATTATGTAGTCCCATTCAAATGTATCCTGTTTTGTATTGCCCGAGTCGTAGCTGTCGATAACCCTTTGAAAATTGCCACATCAATACGACCCCCCCCCAACAACTGATATGAGAGGCAACACCTACGGCAGCGCATTGATCACGGTGACATTTGCTTTGCACACCTACTAAATGTCCTGCCCTTGTCACAACATTTGGAGAAAATCACATAGATCGATGACACTCACGCGTGGACAAAGCTGAGCGCACCTGCATGTGTATACACACACACACACACACACGCAAAAGTCATAAATGCCACCTGGGGGGTTGAACTCAATTCCAACTTCATTGAGCCTTAATCGTCATAGCTAGTCTTACAATTTTGAGTCCTCTTAAGATTTTCCCGAGGACTTGTGTGTCATATTTAGTTTATATTTTCTTGCCTCAGCCTTTTACATTATATAACTCAATAAATAAACACAATACCTTCTCCAACTCATTATTTTATTCATTGAGAGTGAAGCGCAAATCCAATTTTTTTTTTTTTGTATTCCTCTTCTCGTTGTCTTATCTAGGTAAGAGTGACCCATTCTGCATAGTGGAGCTAAGTAACGATCGGCTGCAGACTCACACCGTTTACAAAAACCTGAACCCAGAGTGGAACAAGGTCTTCACTTTGTGAGTACAGTCATTGGTGAAAACACACACACACACACACACACACACACACACACACACACACAATCCCTGTTGTTATTTTTTTTGTCTCTGTTCAAGAGACTTTCAAATGGCTTCAAATGGTTCTCGATCGTATCCTGGTTCTGTGTATACCGTAGCAGGGTGATAATGAGAGAGATCAAAATGTTACATAAGTTCTTTAAAATCTGCTACATTTTTATTGAGTCCAAAGATGTGGAATTCCCAATGATGGGACACGTTCATTTAATCATTCTTTGAGTGCACGTCGCCCACATAGCCTCTTTTCTATACATAACATCACCCATCTTGCTAGCCTACTTTTACAATTGTGACACCACTCCACTTGATAGAAATGTAGTCCAAGGGCGAATAACGTACTTTTTGTTGATGTTGAAACATCGACGCACATGTAAAGGACCTGTGAAAAGCTTTTATACCGCCTTCACATTTCTTCAATATGAAACTAAGCTTCTGTGTGGTGTCCTAGCTTTTGAAACCGTTAGCATGCAGTTCACGGTTGTCGTCTGGCCATGTCATCCAGTAACGTGAAGGACATCCACTCAGTACTCGAGGTCACCGTTTACGACGAGGACCGAGACAGAAGCGCAGACTTCCTGGGGAAAGTGGCCATTCCTTTACTAAAGGTGAGTCCGACGTCGTGAAACATTCGGAATGAAGAGACACCATTGAAGTTATAAAAAGCATAGGTTATTTTCGCACACGCGCTGACGAGTCTATTAGCGTTTGAAATGACATGACGACGACGACGAGCCGGGCTGATGAGTCAAAACAAAAAAAAGATTGATAGGTGAGAAGAAAGCAAGCGCGTGAGTGAGAGACGCTATGAAAATGACACTGATCGAGAGATGAAATGACACCATTCGCCATCTCGCATCCAAAATCTTTCTATACATGTGTCTTGCGACTGAAGCGTGTGTCGTATATATATCCGCGCCGGGCTGTACAGTGTGATTCCCAGGATAGTTAATTTCTGTTTGACAGAGGCGAGCTGCTGCGGGTAATGAACAGGTACTTGTCAGAGTTGCCACAGTTGTTTTGGGTTCCCTGTCAACGCCGGCAGCTGGGGTTCAAAGGTGGCCCGGGGAGCCGATTCAGTCGGGTATTGCCAGACAGACGCCTGTCATGTCCCTTCTCCCACAGATCCAAAATGGAGAACGCAAAGCCTACGCCTTGAAAAGTAAGGAGCTGACAGGGCCAACGAAAGGGGTCATCTTCCTTGAAATAGACGTGATTTTTAATGCTGTAAGTCTTTTTTTTTTTCTTTTTAGATTTTCCTCCCGTATTTCAAACAAAAAACCCAATATTTGTCCCCTATCCTCTTATTCTGTCAGTGCATGTGTTGCAATGTGGCAATAAAAATGTCAATTTGGTGGTTGCCTCTTTATTCAACGCCAATAATTGACTTTGTTGTTTTCCGTTGTCCTCCAGGTGAAGGCGGGTCTCAGGACATTGATCCCCATTGAGCAGAAGTACATAGAGGAGGAGCCCAGAGTGTCCAAACAGGTCAATCACTTTTTATAGCGACTTGAATTCTTCTACACCACATCACATAAATAGAAAATACGATTTCATTTTTGGAAAAACAGGTCGCTATTTTAACTTTATTTCACAACAAAATAGACGTTAGAAATAGATTGAGAAATCATATAGAACCATATTGTTGCTTAAAAATAAAAATCATGCTTGCAATAAACGGACACATAAAAGGTACACATTTTTGGGGGTATAATGTACAAATTAATTTGCAAATTAATTTTTTTATGCTTTTTGTTGACTTTTTATTGCATTTAATAAGTGAAATACATACTGTGTATGGGGCATTCCGCTGAATCGGTCTTATGTCCTGTATGTCTTTAGGGAACCAAATATATAAATGTGCAATCAAATGAATTGCAAAATAAATATTTTTTTAGTAAGCTAAGGGTCTTGCACATTCATTTGAGTGCAAATTTAATAAATCGAAAAGCTCGAACTAAGCTGTAAAATAGTATTTGTTGGCTGTTCCCGCTCCCTACAATTGGACTTGATCATGAAATGTGCGACTTCAAGTCCTTTGAAAAAAAATTCGATTGTAACTCTGTTATTCCTCACACCAACAGTAATTTATTTAAAAAAAAAGAAAGAAAGAAACAAAACAAGAAGAAATTCACCTTCAATGTACACTTTACTCAGTCCTGTAATCCTTAACACATTACTTCCTCAGAAAATTTTGAACTCTTCCACTTGCAGTCCAAGTAAAGCCCAAAACTCAGTTTAACCTTTTGTTTCTGTTATCTAAAAGCTTTTTTAATTTTGTTTCTCTTATCTAAAAGCTTTTTTAAACATTATTATTATTATTATTATTATTATTATTATTATTTTTGGTTGTATCACTGTAAATGCCACGTGGCTGTATTTCATGTATTTGCTAATGCTATACCAAAAACATATCCCTGTTACTCAAAGAGGAGTTTCAGTACATTAAAGCAACAACATAAAAAATAAAGTTGCCCGAGATGATCCAATGCGCATTTGTATTCTCAGATTTAGAGTTGGGGAAAAAAAAAAAACCACAGCGTACCCCACGTCCTGCCCCGCCGTCATACGTGCTAACCAGCGAGCCGGCCGAGCGGCATCTCGTAAAGCCCCGACAACTGTGTGGGCAAGATAAAACAAGGTGATTGAAGAGGGGAAAACAGCGTTTCATTTTTGTTTCTTCTCTCCTCTCTCCCTTCTCTCATCTGTCAGCCGCCTCGCATCCACCCCGACTGGGTGAATAGAAATGTCAAGCTGTCAACTGCCGGGTGCATAAGTAGATTGGCCGTCCTTATAGATGGCCCTTTTTTTTTTTTTTTTTGCCACTGCTGCTTTGCACTTCATTGTCACGCCGCTCAGTGTGGCAGCGGCACAAAGGGCTGAATAGCTGGGGCCGGCCCACATCACACATGTCATATGAGTGACCGTTTGGGCTTAGTAGTCAATGCTGCGCCATGCCCTGCCACACACATCACTAGCCAACACAGTGCGGCGCACACAGACGCCTCCCATACCGCCCTTGTTTCAACTCTCGATCCGTTTTTTTTTGTTTTTTTTTTCTCCCCCTCCTATGTCGTCTCCTTTGCACCGGCCCGCTCTTCTCCCCTCGCACCCCCCAAGTGGCAGAATCTCAATCTCACCTCTGACTCATAAAGATGACCCATGTCAGCGTCTCACGATGATGATGTCACTGGCTGCTTTGGAAGGCTCGCCCCTTGAGGCCGCGAGGGCTGTTTGGTGCCAGCACACCCCTCCTGTTGCTTGCTGATTAGTCGGAAGAAAAGTAGCTGTCAGAGACGTTCTAAGTGATGACTTAACCACTTTGGATGGAAGGTGTTTTTCTACCGCGTTGCATTTTCAACCTTTCAACAACCGATGCAGAAAAGTTGCCATTGGATATTTCCTTTGGTTAACTACCAGAAAATAACTAAGTAAATGAATAAGAAATGTAGGAAATTATGCACCATCTTATTTCGAAATGAATGATTCTGAAAAATTACCATGGCGACTATTTGCATCTTTAGGGTTTATATGACTAGAGTTAAATATCATAACCCAAATATGGCATAAGTTTGATCAACGTGGAAAATGATTTTTGTCTTTGTTTGTTGCTTCACATTTACGGCAGTATTATAGCATGGGATTTTTATTTTTTAATTTTTATTTCGAGAATCCATGATCCTCCTCATTTTGTAACAATGAAGCCACAAAATGAGATGCACACACTTTTATAGACAGGTCTTTTTATATTTTTTTGTTGTTATATTTTTGCATTGCACATGTGTACCTTGTAAAATAATGGCCTAGAATTCGCCTTTTCCTCTTTTTCTCCTCTGGGAACATTTCCTCCTGGTGATGACCTGATTGGGTGATTGGAAGTATGTGGCAGCTATACGATGCTGTTTCCTCGATGGGCTACCACCCAGGGGACGACTCCAGTTAGGACGAGTTTTTGTCGTCTTTGACCACAAATGTTGATGCGATTCCAGAGCTACAACAACAAGAATGAACTCAAATAACAATTTAGTCATCAATAAGGCTTGTTTTCTCTACCGTACTGAGCTTAGTCCAGAACTAGCGCGGCATCATATTCTCAACTGGTCTACAGCGCTTTATTTTTGAAGTCAGGTCAAAGCTACAAATCACCAACTAAAATGACGCGATACTTAATTTTGCAAAGTGACAGCAAAATGAGATACGGCAGGGTTTAAATTTCTCTTATTAGGAGCTGAGCAGAGTTGATCATGCTGACTCATACCTACGCGATAGCATAAAAACCGTCACAGGGCTGCAAATTATCAGAAAAGTACACTTCCCAAATATCATCTTGACAAGATGAAATTTTCACATGGACTCTTCAATCGCCATCACTGACATCAATGATAACGCGTATAATTAAACCCCCTTTACTGATCCTTATTCACAATTGACCTTCTATGTTCATCTTCCATTCTTGTGTCCCATCTGCTTTGCAGCTGCTGTTGCGCAACTTCAACAGAGTGAGGCGCTGCATCATGTTCCTCATCAACACCGGCTATTACATCAACAGCTGCTTCGAATGGGAATCTCCGCAGAGGAGCATCTGCGCGTTTGTGGTGTGTAGACGTCGCTTCAAATGCGGGGACACGATAAGTCACACAAATGTCAAGCCTGCTGGGTCGATACAGTCATAGCCGATTAATTAACAGTCGTTCTGATTCGAGCAGCAATAAGTGCATAATTGGATAACCGCTTGGAAGGCACCATTCTTGTTCCAGCCTGCATTATTGATGTATTTTATTGTGATGAAAGTAATAACGTAGAAGTGTAGTCTGGGTAGGCAGCACAGCTCACACGGCCATCACACCGGTCAGACGAGACAACGTATTGATCACTTAACAATTTCCCCGGCTGTGTGTGTATGTGTGTGTGTGTGCGCGCGCGCGTGCATGCGTGCCTGCGCTCAAGTGGCACATTTCCGCTCCAGTAAGACTGCACTTGTCCTTGCGCCGTGCCTTTAAGAAATTGAAAGGGAAGTGCCAAAAATGAATTAATGTCGAAAACAAGGTCAGAAAAGTTTGAAGGTGCAGCATTGAGAAGGGGGACATCCTTGGGAGTCCCATTCACAAGACAGAGCGTGCATAAAGTTCATTCAGTTCGGAGTAACAATGTATTCTTCTTGTACATGCTTAAATGGAGTATTTCAAGGCAATAAAACAAGTATCTAGGCCAAGGACAATATGTTTTATAGTTTATCATTTTTCTCTTCTTCGTTCCCCCTCCCACTCGTGTGTGCGTGTGTGTGTGTGTGTGTGTGTGTGTGTGTGTGTGTGTGTGTGTGTGTGTGTGTGTGTGTGTGTGTGTGTGTGTGTGTTGGCGTAGGAGTGTGCACTTAGCTAAAAGCATCAGTGTTTAGGACCTCTCTCCTTTACACAGGTACCCCCCCTTCTGCGCCCCCCCTTCCTCCATTTCTTCATCACTCTCTCATTCCTCCCTCACTTCCAGAGGCCTCTTAATCACTTCGCTCATCTCTTTAAGTGGCTTTTTATGGGGGGCCATCTGGCCAAGGTGGTGCGTTTGTGAAGGTGCACGTCTGTGTGTGATTACGGTCACGTGTGTGTGTGTGTGTGTGTGTGTGTGTGTGTGTGTGTGTGTGTGTGTGTGTGTGTGTGTTCGCACGGGTGTGCGTTCCTGTCTTTCTGGACAGATGTTGCACTTAACTTTTCAGAATGGCGCTCGCTCGCTTGCAGAGGTGGCATAGTGGCAGCTCCTAAACGTTTAAGTGTGCGCTATAACTCACGTAAGGGAGCCTCGAGGAGGGAAAAGCGGCGTGTTGGTTGATTTGCAGTTTTTCCAACGGCGGCCGTTGTATTCAAGACGCTGCCGTATCACATTCATTCCGCAGAAACGGGCTGCGTTTTTCCCCGCCAGATTTGGCCTTTCCATTGGCACGGTGTGCACATGCAAGGCAGAGATGGCATCGTCTCACATGCAGCGTTGCTCTCTCACGCCCACGGTTCCGTCTCCCACCCATCCCGAGGGTGAAAACAGCCACCGCGGCAGCTTCGCCCGAGGCATTGGCGCCGTGGAGCGGCCCGCCGTCACCTCCTGTCCCGCAGGATGGCAGGTGTCTTTTTGTGTGCCGGGATGACACTTGTCTCCCTCTTTTCCACTTTCCACACCTGCAAGGTGTGTCTTCCTATCGCTGCGTCCATCTAGCCATCCGTGCTTCTCTTTACCTCCACCCCCGGCTCTCCCCCAAAAAATCTGGTGCCACAACCGAGTTGGGTTCTGTTCACGTGCTGCCACCAGGTCTCCTCGCGGCCTCAGCAAGACAAGGCCGTTAATGCCCCCGGGGAGCAACGGCCTCAGCGGCTCTTCCTCCAAACACATTTACCGTAACTTTATCTCCAATTGGGCTTCGAATGGGAGGCAAATAGAGGCAGCTTTGTGAGGCTCGGCGAAGGGTGAGGGCGGGCGGTGAGCCGGGGGAGGCAGGGGAAATGATACTGGGCGCTTTTATGTCAGGCAAAGTAGGTGGACTCTTATCAGGGAGAGAGCCCAGACAAGGGAGCTACTTTGAGAGGAAAGTGGAGCACCTATCACCTGCTTTGCATTTAGATAAAAATTCAGGCTGCTGAAATTAAAAAAAAAAAAATCCAAAAAAGCAAAGACAGGTACAGAAGCATTTATTGATGTGTGTATGCACATGTCTTGGAGTGTGATACACACACACACACACACACACACACACACACACACACACACACACACACACACACACACACACACAAGAGAAGTCAGTGGCACACGACACCCGACTCGAGGTCTCTTTAAATTGCTCCTTTGACTCCTCTTCAAAGGGGCTGTCTTAACTTTTAAAACTTTTAAGCATCGGGGCTTCGTCTTTGCCCACAGCAAGGGACAACTTTGAACGATTGACTTGAACATCTTACTGCTCTCGTCATTTCATAGTTGAAAAATAGCGTCGGGGGCAAACACCGAATATCAAGTCAGAGTTGAATCGCCAGAGAAAGAGACTCACGAGGGAGAAGAACGCGGCAGATAAACTGTACAAGTGTCATCGGATTTTTCTTGAAGAAACTAAATGGCCGATCAGTTCATACAGAGCATCTATCCGGCTTGCTTTTGGACAAAGAGCACAGCGATCGCTGGTGCATTCTACAGGCGTACAGCAGGGGGCAGTCTAGCCCCATCAATCATGCTCGCGGAGGTCTGGTCCAAAGCAGGACACAGTCCCCCCTCCTATCTTTCTCTCTCTCCGGTTACATCAAACTTAACAGGACTTGTGCTTGCTATCTGGCAACACTTAGTGCCAGCATGGAAAATGATGTAAGAGAGATAAAGGCGACCTCTGAAATCCAAACTTCGGTTTCACTCCACTGAGACAGAACAGGGGAAAAGTTTGCCTGGTGTGTGGTTAATGTAAGCCAAAGTACTGAATATTACCCTCCCACAGTGCCGCGGCTCCGAGCCGCAAGGACGCGGGCTGTGTTTTGAAACAAATAATGCCGGGCTCCAGCTCTCCATGAGCACCGACTGCTTGAATAAAACATTTGGACTTTTCCATGTTGTTGACATCCTTTTGTGTTCAGGGGATTTTCTTAATGTTGAACCACGCATCAAAGACTTGCGGAATCCAACTGCAGGGATTGTCAGAAGCAATTAGATTATTGATTTTTGCCGAATGTAATTCCAGCCAAAATGATCCCATGATGACTTTGCTTTTAGCATGTTTTGCTATGGCTTCTTAGCCTTCTTCTTCTTCGTAATTTCATTTATTGTTCACCCCAAATGTAAATTTACTAATAATAATTTGTACTATTTAAAATTGCTCGTAAAGCACATCTTAAAAATACACCACAATGGTTTATGGTTATTCAGCTAATTATTAATCATATTCAGTTTATTTTCTCATTTTCATTATTCACCGTAGAACACAATTAAATGCCATACTGGCTGCAGATAACTTTTGGGGAAATTGTAGTTGAATCAATAAATGACCTTTTTTAAAAATTTATTTTGGAGGCACCAGAAAAATTGGCAAGGCCATTTTGTTTATAATGCACACTAAAACATACAACAGAAAAATATGCATTTTCTTCAAACATTTAATATTGTGTATAAAGACACAAACTGCATGTATATTTAAATATTTGTATTCACTATTAATACAAAATGTTTTCCCATCAGGGAGGTTAAATCTTGTCTTAGGTGCATGTTATCTCGATAGACCATCAGAGATGGCTTCAAAATAAGCGTCATCTTCCAATGACTCCCATCCAAGATATCTCCAGCCTCACTTTGCATTTACCCTCTGCCTGATTGTCCTGTTTTCGGTTGTTTTTGTTTTCCCTCTGCCTTTTTGTGGTCACTGACATCCACAGCAGGCTCCGTCCCACTCCCTCATCCCCAGGCAAAGAGCTTGCAATGTAGCGTAGGGAGCGATGGGGGGGCTGTGATGGACCAGTCTCGCAGGAAAGGTCCTCGGCACCGCAGGGCCACTGTTAACCAGCCGCGGGGCACGGAGACGGGGCAGGGCCGTCCGCTTCTGAGCCCGGGTGCCGGGTGGTTCTTCCAGCTGCCTGTCACAATGTTGCCCTCAGCGACGATAGCCAAATGGAAGAGAAATGAGAGTGCGGCCACAGGTTAAGAGCCTTCAGGGAAGATTTTATTTTATTTTTTTAAATATATGAAAGATGGTTTCAAGATGTGAGGCAAACATCAGGACAGTAAGGTGCAGTGTGTGTGATTCCAACAGTGAACGTTCACATAATTGCGTAGTATATTTCTGTTCAGGCAATGTGATGCCAGTACTATTTCCTGTTGTTGTTATTTACTTTGTATTTAGAACATGAACAAAAAAATTATTGTAATTGTGTGGTTATTTATAGCTTCTACTGGAACACGTTTAAAAGAACAACAGAACTCCTTTGCCTTTTTTTTTTTTTTAAAGCAAACGCTTGTCGGCATCTCATTTGCACAGTTAGTCATTAGACATGTTTTAATTAATGTTACTGATCGTGCACGTTTGGAGTCTTGATGGTTTTCGAGGAAGTTGGATAATTTTAGAATGTTCGGATGAGTTAGGGTGCATTGCTGTGAGCTGCACTGACAAAGAACTTTTGTGTGTTATTTATGAGGAGTGGGATGTGGTCCCGTCGCTTTTAAGTGAAACACACATTAATTATTGCAATTTCATTTGGATTTTTTTAGGAATTATACTATCCCAGGTTGGTGCATACGCACACGAAGTTGGTTCCAAAAGAGACCGAAAAGTTGTTCCTTTTGGGAGACCGTATTGTTTATTTGACCAGCAATTTTATTTATTTAGATGAAAAATACATCCATTGTGGCCATTTGTTTGAAAGCTGTTATCTTTAATTCATGCTTGGTTTGTTTTGGCTTAATTTCACATTCAGTTTAAGGTCCCCCCCCCCTCCCCCCCATGCAAAACTTTATGGTTATGAGTTTCCAAACTTTTCTGTGATAAAGAAGACAAAAGATTTTTTTTTTGTTTTCAGATGGCGCGATGCTTGTGTTTGTGTGGGTGGGTGCAAAGAAATTTCTATACTGACGGCTGAGCGATGAATGTGTCTGTGTTTTGCCTATATTTTAACAGAACCACATGCACATGCTCTCTTTTTGAGAGTACAATGGGCCTTTATGAGTCCAACAATGGGGAAACTTTCGTTTTTAAGCAGACAAAACGGATCGTCGTGAAACACAAGGAGTGCAAGGAGAAAAAGAGAGCCTCAGTGCAATATTTGGCAACTGTATATTTATGTATCGCATTTTAGATTGTTGAGTCTGCATGTGGAAAATTGTGCACCATATGTCCTCGAAACACTTTTAAAATACATGTACAATATATCAACCTTTTCAGCATTTAATTTTTGCAAATTTAGGTGTTTTTTTTTTTCCCCACAACATATTCCATTTGCATGAGCTCAAACATCGGCTTCTTTCACTCTTACCGGCAACACAATGCCAGTGTAAAATAACCAGCCTGCGTCATTAGCGATTTCTCTTTCCCACAGAGACTAAGAAGGCTTGTCATCGGGCAGAATGCTGTTTTTTTTTTTTTTTTTTTTTGAATCAAAGGTTAATATTCAGAGAGTGCCTTCCTTGTTTGGTGATGAGAGGGGAGGCACAGAGGTTGTGGTTTTGGCAGCTGGGTGCACAGGCGAGCCTTACAAGTCTTGGATGGGGTATTGCGGCTTGGAGTGACAGGGTTAGGGACTCAGGGTGTGGCCGGCGTGAGGTCAGACGCCGGGCTTTCGCGGGGAAGGCTCAGAAACCATCAATGACCTCGGCCTCCCCCGGGATGATTGGCATGAGGGGACGAGACTCTTGACGGCTCGAGGCTCATCCTCCTTATATCGTCTTTCCTCTGCTCGAGGCCTAAGCAGAGCCCTGAGGGTCAGGGTGTTGAACCCGGGCTCAGTGCCAGCCGGCTCGCACCTTTGTTACCGGCGCCGTCTTATTTTTTACGCTTTGCTCCGCCGAGGTTATGATTCTGCATATGAATGCGCAGCGTCTCTAATCACACATATGGCCGACACGCATTCTCACGCGACGGTCTCACGAGGGCTCCGACGTAAACATTCCCGGCCACTTTTGTTCGCATTGAGTAAATCGCGTACTTTTTGTCTTTTCTTTTTCATTCCAGCTCTTTGTCGTCCTCGTGTGGAACTTTGAACTCTATATGATTCCGCTGGCTTTGTTGCTGCCCTTGGCCTGGAACTACATTCTCATCACGTCGGGCAAGGATACGAGACAAGATGTGGTGAGTGTGGCCTCTGGAAGCTGGCCGATATCCCTCCGCCTTTCTTTCATTCCACTGTAAAAGCCTCTTTGCAAGGGCACACAATGCACCGTTAAAACTGTGGCGCCATTATTTTATGGGGACACGGCGCTCTTGTCTCTTCCACAATATGATCACATTTAAGTATAATTCTACAAGATTAGATATACTTAAATCATACTTAGCTACTGTGCAACTGAGTCTACCCGGTACGGATGCTGAGATAACCCAAAAGGCAACGCTTGAATAGAAACAATGACGAGGAACATGCTACCCGCGCTTTTAAAACCTCATTTTTGGATTAAAATACAGCCGTAAAATGTATGCAAATGTAGAAATGAATGTGCGTATTATTTTCGGACGTGGAGGGGGAGGGGGTCGGGGGGATAAAAAAAAATCCCTCTGTGCAATCTCACGTTCCTCATTTTGCCATCTTTGAGGCAAAGAAAGGGAAGAAATAATGGGCAGACACATTCAGCCACGTTACGCCACTTACCTGGTGGTTTATTTATTTCATTCATTTATTTTGATCTCTTCTACCAATTAAATAATGTCAACGCAATGTCATGGGAAACGGACATGTTTTAATCATGGCCCGGCACATTTCGGGAGCGGAGCTAGTGAGTGAAAAGCGAGAGCAGGACTTGCGGCGTGAGCGTGAACAATGACGTGATTAATTTTAATAAGTGTCTTCTCCGAGTCAAACTTGGAAATAGCCAACGAGCAGACTGGATGGTCACCGGCCGTCTGTCTCGCCAGTTTAACAGCATTTATTCCCCCCTTTTAAAGATCATTTCGGATGGATGGGATTCAAAACCAATTTTGCACTTTTTTAATTGTGATGAATAAACTCTCGTTGCATCACTTCGCCACAATGAAGCCATTATGAAAAAAAAAATGTACAAAACACACACTTGAGAATTTCACGCCATGTGTGTCAGAACTCCAGTCGTCTCGTAGTCGTCTTATTTGCTTGTACCCTGTAGGTGAAGCAAAACAGAATTCAACCCGGGTGAGTATTCTATGTGATCCATTTGTATTAGTTTATGCTGCATCATTTAGTTGACAACCTCTCTCGGTTGAACAAAATCAGCTCTCCAACTGTGAATGACGCTTGGATTTGAGAGAAGAATTTCTACTCGCCTGTAGATGGCGACATTGCTTGACAAAAAAAAAAAGCCCAAAACAAAACAAAACTACATCTCCCTCGCATCCCTCCAGCCAAAACCCTGCGTGATGATTTGTTCTCTCTACCTTCCCAGCCATTCATCCCGCTCTCATGATAGTCCTCTTCCACGCACTTCATAATTAAAAGGAGACAACAGAGGTTATACATTCTTGTACGTTTTCCACTTACTTCACGCACGAGTAAGTGCGTGCAACTCCCACTCCATGCCGAATGGCTTTTCTCTCCTCTTTCAAAGGGACGATTGCGCCTCAAGTGTCACGGCAATTGGTTGGAAAACTAAAACATGTGGATACTGTTGTAGTGAGGTGAGTGCCTCTTAGGGCCGCAATTAATTCCCGTTCACTTCTTAAATGATTTGGAATTTCTTTTTTTTTCTTTTGCTTTTAATTGCATTCAACTCCCGCATCTGTACAATTGTAATCCCTTTGTGCAGACTCCGCTGAGCGCCGTAGAAACACATCCGTGAGGTATCGATGGGGAAATTGAATCGACTGTACTCAACCAATATGAGACGTCATTGTGTTGAATGTGAGCAAACGGTGCGCCGATAGCTTCTGCGTCATTATCAAATTCGAGCCAGATGAATCGCTCTCTTAAATTGTGCTTTGCTGCAGAGTAAATGTAATGCACAATACCGGAGCCGCCTCTCATGATTCTTACGTGTTCACACGCACATAGCACACGCGTGTCCCGCGAGCCTTGTCCCTGTTTGTTCTCAGACACTACAGCGAGAGTCGACGGCGTGTGCGGTTTCCTCTGCATCAAGCCGAAGGCACGGCTCCCCTTCTATATTTGACAGAGACAACAAACAAATAGAAAAGGAAAGAAGCGCTTTAATTACTTGACAGAACAAACCGAGTGATTGCGCGGAGCCCAGCTATCGGGTCAGCAACCGGAGCGCTGTGGTTTTCCAAAAGTGCGGGGTGACGGTGATGCCAAGGCAATGTGTGTTAAACTCACCGAGAGTGAAAGCACAAACGAAAACAGACAACAACAACAACAACAAAATCGTATAGACTCGCATCCAGACTTCCTAATCAGTTGAAGGGCCTTGATTCATGCGATGGGTTCAATGTGAGGACCCCTTCTCCCATTTCACGCCACAACGCGGCCTGCCGAGAAACAAATAATGAGCCTTCTCTGCATGCTGCAATTCACCACTCAGGGTCACCGCCCGTTGTGTGCTTACATGCCCGCCTTGCAAACAGATCTCGGATCAGCACTCCTTACCCTCGCCCCAACCTTGACCGGTACCTGCTAAGCAGTTGCAGCACCCTCGGAACAGCGATTAAAAGAGGTGACGCGACCAAGCAAGGTCGCTGACCTCTTCTCTTATCATGTAGCACTCTGACCTATGGATCCTGACTCTTCAACACTGTTACTTGACTTGCACGTCTTGCCAAAACATGACCTCTCAAAACAAACAACGAAACGAAAGGAGAGGAGACCTTTTTACCTCTCTGGATGCGTGTGTCCCCTGTAGCTGCAAGGTGGAAGAGCCTCTTAATCGACCTTCCCCTCAACTTCCTGTATAATTTTTGGAAACCCGCACTGGTTCAAAGTTTACATTCCATTCCCCTTGTAGTACCGCAAATTGCCAGTAGGCTCGTTTTGCTCAACAAGAAGACAACCTGCAATGCGGTCAGTGTCCGAATGTCACATTTCAAGTGGAGGAAATCCAGTTCTATGGCAGCACAGTGCAATAGTAGCGGCACACAAGAATAAGAGTCCGTTAAACATTCAACATTCAAGTAGCCATCATGCCATGCCACCTTTTTGTGCCCCGGTAGACAAAGCAACGTCGATGATTGGTTTGGAACTGGTTCTCAAGGATTTTCCAGCCCCTCGTAGGTCTGTTCCCCTTGAGACGAACTGCATTGGAGATTGTTGGCTAAGCCCTCACGAATGTTTCCGTACACAAATTTCCACATCTCCTCTCAATGTAGTTGTAGTGGCTAAAGGTCTCAACCTTTATTGCAGAGAGCGCATTTCGCTCTCCGTATTTGTGGCTGCTTGCATGAACGTGCACGACATCCTTTCGGCCGACGCTCATCCCCAGCAGAAATCCCTCCAAGACGTTCCGTTGGCCTCTAGATGCCAGTCGCAGATGCTATCAATGTGTTAATTGCTGTGCAGACATTCGTAGAGGGCACCTAGCGAAGACGCTCATGTCTCTTTCCACCACAAGATGACGGGCAATTAGGTCTCGTCACACTGGAGGACTTTCCTCTTTATCCGACGCTACACACCATTGCTTGGATTCAACCATTGAATCTGGAAACCCATTACACAGGAGAAGAGCTAAATGGCCAGAAGGTACTTTGCAGTTTTAGACAACCGTCTGCTTAACAGCATACATTGAAAGTTAGCTCCAATTTCCACACAACAGTCACGTGTCTTTAATCGCCGCCGAGATCACAAGTCGAATGCTTCAAATCAATAAATAAACTTAAAATGAAACAACTTCACGGTCACACGAGACATCTGGCCTCACTGGGGCCTGAGGCTGGAAAAGGCTCACGCTGTATGGTCCAAGTGTCCTATTCCAATTTTATCCAGTGTCCATTTCCTTTTACATTTTAAGGCCCACTACACAACAAGTGAACCATGCAATCGATGACTCACGGTCGCACACCAGGTGATCGTCGTCCCTTGCACACCTAACCATCACAGTGCAATGGAAAAACTGCAACCCCTGGTGTTGTCGAAAACATTTTTTTAAGGCGTCGCATATAACTGTCCTGCATCATATTTTGTCACAAATAATCAGCTGTCAAGGAAGAAGCGGATCGTCCTCGCTACTGTGTGTCTTTTATGCAGAGAGCAAACTGGCGAAAAATCAAGGAGAGAATCTATAAGAAAGGCTTGTTGCCATGGTTACCACACGACAGAGACTCTCCATGCTTTGCTTTTTAGCCACAGGTGTATATGAAATTATTAATATTGTTAAGTGTTATTGTAAAACACAACATGCAGAATACAGTACTGTATGTAAACACTGCGGCGTTGCAACGTCATATTTCTAATGACATGTACCTGTGTGACTGGAATGTTTTTATATACGTTGTTTGGTTGGATGGAGAGACATACGTTGCTCATTGAAGTATTGCAATGATGTCAGGTCCGCAGTGGATACATACCGGATTGTTATGCAAATTTAGAAGAGACTTGATTCACATCTTCGGTTATCCATTTTTTTTTCTTTACACCACTATGGCACAGAACTGAATTGTGGCACTTCAACCTTGCAGTGTCACTCCAGCTTGATTGATTTACACCAGTTTTCTATCGCTGACAGTGGGATGTACTTATTCCAGCAAAATCTAAAAAAAGTATGCGACCAATTGTCAGTATCGCTCTACAAAAAAATATTTAGTCGCTCTCCATTTATGTCTGTTGGATGTAAGCAAAGGGTTTTATTATTTTATTCCGTTTTATTATTCACTGAACACATTTATAAACAATAACGAATGCGATATGCTTCAACATTGCCTGTACAGTGAATCAAGTTTTCAAGATGGGCCAATTTGATTGTGGAACAAATTAAAAGTGCACAACAGATTGTGTTGAACTTTGGAGATTCGACTGAAATGCGCATCTAATCCACGCATGCCTCACTTGCACAAGTTTAGTATTGACTTTCTTGACTGTGAAGCAGTCGGTGTGACAGCGGCGCATTGCTCATTTGGAAGTCAGTAATAATGTATAGCTTTGTATCATTCGAGAACAAGACTTCATAGCCATTTTTATCTCATCTATTTTCACCCCGAGCCATCTTCCCAGAAAAAAAAAA